ATGAAAGCGAAATCTCTATTATCAGTCCCAGGCCATTCCCAGCAAAGTGGTGAAAATCGTCGCTTGGGTTGAGAATCTGGGGGTCCCCGCGGGTTGGGAGACTCACACGATGCAAAAGGGCAATATTCGGGAGAAAAGGGGCATGGAAGAAAGGCCCTCGTCCATCCCGACATAACCATTAAATGCAGTCTGACTTTATGTTGTATAGAGAGGGGCCGATAAGAAAGGAGCCACAGTACTGCCATGAAAGAATGAGGTTTTGGGAGGATTAGGGACGGACCCAAGGACAGAGAATAACTTCTGCATAACTTTACAGACTATTTTCTCCCTTTCTTTTACCCCCAATGCAAGAGCCAAGTTTAAGGATAAGACTAGTTTGAGTTAACCCCTTTGAGGTTGTCCCGGGACGGGCTTCACCCGGGGAAGAAGGGTGAGTGTATGTATGTTAAAGTTAAAGTGTCTATCTATCTCCCTGTGTCTGTGAAGTGAGTGTCACGGTGGCTAGGTGGAGTGGATAGGTTCGTATCCCAGTCGGAACAGGGTAGAGTTTGTTAGTTCTCCCTGTGTGTGAGTAGGTTTCCTCCGGGTGCTCCAGTTTCCCCTTCCACTAAAAATGCTTTGTGACTCTGAACTGTGAAAGGTGCCATATAAATAGGGGTGCAACTTTTTCAGTGAGATTCTCAGATGAGTACCAGGAGATGGTGTTTGGTACTCACTCCATTTGTCGCGTGGTTCTTAATCGAGATTTTATACTTGCTTCTTTTTAATGCTAAAGTTTAGATCAGCTCAGATAATCCACTCAATCCAAGTCAAATACATGTAATGACTCACAGGGCTCTTTCTTAAAAATGAAAAACAATACAAAATCAAAACAATGTTCTGTTTGATTTGTTCACAAAATTTTTCTTTTGGGCACAACCAACATTATTATGCATTATTAATGCAAGGGAAAACGTAGGTACCACTGCTTTAATTTAGAGACACAGGGAGGACATGAACACTCCCTTCAGGCTCCATAGTCCAGCTCTGTTTCTTGCAGTAACGCAATCATGTATTTATTTATTTTGCGTTACACAAAGACACACACTTGCAACAAGCAGAGATGGTCCGCGCTGGGTACATTATGACCACGTTCGGCTACGTGCTCGCCACGTTGTTGCCAAGGAGCCACTGTCAGTAAAGCGGCCGGAGCGGCTCTGGAGTCCGAACGCTGCTGCCACGGAGGATTTGGAATCCTGTTCGAGTACGTACAGCAAACAGCAGCAAGTACCCCGCGATAACGCACACCCTCTCTGGCATTGCACCGACAGTAGCTCAGTTGGTAGAGCATTGGCCTTAAGGCCAGAAGGTTGTGGGTTCAATTCCCACCTCTGCACCTTCTCCACCGACTCCCACTGATGACTGCTGTCGTTGTGTCCTTGGGCAAGACACTTAACCCCACTTTGCCCAAAGCCCCCACTGAAAGATCAAGGCTATGCTCACACTCAGAGAGCAGCCGTCCTCCTGTGGACTCACCACCTGCAGAGGGTCAGTGAGGGGCTGGTGCTATGAGACTTGGGTGGCATCTCTGATTGCCACCCCCCTGACCCAGAAATGGATTAAAGGGTAGAAAATGGATGGATGGACCTATCTCTCTATCTACTAGTTACCAGGAAAGATTTTTTTAGCTGCCCTCCACCACAAATCAAACTATAGGCTTGGCCTATAAATCTCCATTATTTATCTTTCCAACACGAGGCACAGATAGACTAATGTTGTAGCTGTCAAACTTGTTCTCACGATGAGTCGACGCCACGGTCTAAATCAAGACGACTCGGGCTCTCATCATCCCATCTTTCATTTATTATCTCGGGTCTAATTAGTGATGCTTTCTGGACCATGTCTTATGGTAATGAACCCACAAGAGCCACGTGAAAACACCATTGATGAACCTTTTTATACAGAGCTGGAATATTTGAATATACCAACATAGATGGTAACATAGATGTGAACTATTGTGTCTGGGAGGAAAAGAAATGGGAATTGTGCGTAAGGTAATCCCTTCATAAGTTTGGGTTTTAACTCTTGTGAAGTGGTCATTCTTACTACAAACAAAATGTGACTTTTTAAACATACAGGATATCGAAAATCGCAATGTAGTTCAGAAATATCACACAAAAATGTTCAGCCACTTAACTTATAGTTTTTTTTATATTAATTGATACTTGAATTAATAACCAAGGTTGTATGGGGTGATTAAAACCCAATCTGCAAATATTATAAAAAAAAAAAAAATGCTTTTCCTGCAGTTTAGTTTTGTCCTATCATGTTACAGTAAATATTAAAGGAGGAATATTAAAGCTTGTAGTGTACAAGCTTTTGAGCTTTTAACCATGTTAAAAATGTTTCCTCATCACAAACAGATTGGAATGTGTTTTTTTTTTTTTTTTTTTAGATCTATCTATGCTAATATTCGGAACTACTGGCACAAACTTGTATCTCCGCCCCCTCTGTCTAAAAGCTCCTGTTTCCTGCTGCGTTCATGCGTTCTCTGAAACTTTCAAAAATTAAACTTGGAAACTTGGAGTTAAACTTGAGCTGGGTCAATAGTTCCAGAATTCAGACTGTAATTGAAAGAATAGAGACAGAGTGAGAGAGATGTGATTTGTGTCAGACTGATGTTTTGACATTTTAATAATTCTAATAATTTGTGTGTGCGTGTGTGTGTGTGGGTGTGTGTGTGTGTGTGTGTGTGGGTGTGGGTGTGGGTGTGTGGGTGTGCGTGTGTGCGTGTGTGCGTGCGTGTGTGTGTCACCAGTCGCCACCAGCTCCTCAAGAAGTCTTAACAGTTATGTCTGAGTTTCTAAAGTATTGCCCATTAATAACTTTTGTGAATTTCTCAGGTGAAACACGTGTATACAGCTGGTAATTTATATTTGAAATTAAACAACATTAAACCAAACAAATTGAACTCCCTCTGGCGGCGGCATAGGGAGTTACAGGCGTAAAGCATTTTCTACCCTTCATACATGTTTCACCATGCTACCATTACACATTCTAAAACATTAAATGATAATTTAAGTAGTCTCCTTCTAATTTGAGTGGCCAAAAATTAAAACTACCATCTCTTCTTTAAAACATAAATCACAAACGTACTTACAATGTTTGTTAAAGAATCCACATTTGGCCAAAATCCTTCAACCCTCCACTAGCGTATATCCATACAAACGTGTCCAACCAGATGTTTTAGGCGACAACGCACAGATGTATAGCTGATGACAAAGGCGGCCTGCTGTATAATTATTTCTGGAGTATGGAGCTGCTAAAGGAATGGGGAACATCTGAACAATTAGGTGAACCGTGGACAGGAGAAGAAGAGTTAATGAGGAGTGCAGAGGAGAGATGGCGAGAGGGGCCAGGATACATTCAGAGCCACGCAGGGATCAGAATAGACCACTGATGCGCCCCTCTTATTTTCATTAGAGCCTGATGACTGCAGAATTGATGCAGTCCGTGAGTTATCAAGAGCCACTAATTTCACATTAACGACCATTGACTGCGCCGGTTTGATTCAAGGGGTTTTTGGACAATTATCACAATCAGGACGCGAGCCCAAATCATTTACCTTGACTCCCGGGGCACGAAACACATTGCAAAATTGTATGGTGTCAAAAACCCCATAAATAATGAGAAGGCTTTCTACCAAGGGCTCATCATCGTGCATCTTGTCACTGGCCCTTACCCAAATGACAGGCGACACCTCTGGAGATGTAGCACTTATTTACAAGCACAAGTAGTTATGGATAATCAGTGGTTTTAGATTTGTTCCACAGAGTAGAGTAAATGCAATAAGATCGGACACATATATGGGTTTTTAGATTGGGTTATTATGCATTATAACATGTTATAACTATTTTACAGTTAGATTTAGTAGAAATGGTCTTCTAAATAAGATTGTAAAGCCTAAATCAAATTGATGAATGACTATAGCATTAATGTAAATCCGTATATTTAGTATACACTATTCTAAAATGAAGTGAATACTAATACTACCATTCCCGTTGTTGGAATGAATTTTCTTGATGTTCTGTTGTCAATGGTCCCTCTTCATGGGGGGCCACTGCTGTGTCCTGACTGACGAATCGAGTGTGACATGTGGGTGACATTACGGCTGATATATATGAGGGCGTCTCTCACTGTGGGGGTCTCTCTACCCTACTCTCTCTGTGGACCCTACTCTCTGACACCACCATGTAGCAGAAGGGAGAGCCCCTTTCTCTCTCTCTCTCTCTTTCTCTCTCTCTGTCTCTCCACTAGGTGTCCCTGTGTGTATGCATAGTTTATTTTCTGTTGTCTAATGCCTTATATGATAGCAACAACTAGACTTTCATTTTAACAACCACACTACCATTTCCTGCCCGAGGATCGATAGCCCCAGAGCAGGTCTATAACAACTACTTCTCCTACTACAACTACTACCACATTTTTACTCACCAGATACATTAGTGACAATTAAAAACACAAGTCATTAAAGTCACACCATGTCAAAAAACAGGATTCCTGTGGTCCTGTGCTTTACAAAGAGTTATGTCTTGTTGTCAGTGCTGCAGTTGGCTGGATGATGCAGTTGATGGATGTGAACTTGGTGTTAACGGCAGAGGGCCATATACAATTACACAGACGGCCGCAATTGGCCCGTGGGCCTCAGTTTGGCCTGTCCTAATGTAGCCCCATGTCGTTGGCCCATTACCTGGCAGCTTGTGCCTTCACCCACAGAACTAATCATCAAATAAATAATATAATTGTATCTATTTGCTATTTGGTGGATGTATTATATTAGTGTTATACATGGATTGTATTTGGATGTAGTTCTATGTGAGCTACATTTGCTGTCATCGCGAGACTTCCCGCGGTCACCTGATTGTCGCGTGATGAAAACACGGAAGCGGTCTCTTCTGCTTATGGTTCTGCTTCTGTCCGGATGAAGAGGAGCATCTGACGTTTCCCCTTCGCTGTCAACCATGACTTTTAACCACAACATGTTACGAATATTTTTTTTCTGCGCATGCACTCACGTTGTTGTATTTGGAGACGTCGTTTCGGACTTATTAGACAAACCAGACTCGCTGCGCAGTCCAAGTTTTCCTGTATTCAAGCCCAACGTGGATGCCCTGTCCCGTGTGGACCTGCTCACTACCCTCACAGAATTCTCGGACGTCAGCCAGTATTGCAAAGAACTTCTGGACTTGTTTGGGAATCAATATGTGGCTTATGTGAACTGTCTAGTGCCAGCAGCCCGACCTGTCAAAGTGTGCCAGAACTGCTTCGCAAGCTTCGTAAACCTAAATATAACATACACAAACATCTCATCAGATGAAGTAAGTCGTTGTGTGTGTTTTATTCCAGCTGCAGTTTGTAAATGTGTTAAAAGAAGTGAAAAGCTGAACACGAGACAGTCACGAGTCCTCTGTGACTAAAATGCCTGTGGAGAATTTGCAGAAGCTGTAACTTGGTTCTCATACTTTGATATTGTACTTGTATACACATTATTGTTCTTGAATTCCCATTATTGAACTTGTATCCACATTATTATACTTGTACTTATATATTATTTCATTTCATTAGGCCCGAGCCCCGAACGGGGTAAGGGCCTATTGCTTTCACAATGGTGAAAACAAATGGTGGCGGTGCGTGACGGACGCGTCAGCGCCCGTCACTCACCAAAACGTGACGGTTGCGTGCGTAAACTCGAACACTTTAAAATGATGTATCAGGTGCCATTGAAACCTATATTGTTTTTGCTCGAGACGTTAAAAAAAAAATTCCTTTTTTATTTATTTCTTTCTTTTTTCTTCTGCACTTTGAGCCTTAATTTGACCCCCTGAACATGCATGAAAAGTTGTTAATTTTGGCCCAAAAATCAGACCTGGCGAAAAATTTGATATTTTGGTGTTTATTTTTATGGGACTCAAAGAATGACAGAACAGCGCCACCTACAACAGCCAAAATAATACCCCTATGGGACTTTTCGGAGGTCAAGTTTGTCGTAGAAACATGAAATTTGGTACACATGTTTCTCAAGTCAAGACAAGAAAAAAATATTATTATGGCCCCGCCCCCTGACAAACAGGAAGCCCATAAATTTCACTGCAAAATGGAAAAATGAACTGCAAAAGTTTTCATACATGTCGGTTGGAAAGCGACTCCTCCTCGGCCGTTTCACCGATTCGCCTCAAAATCGCTCCACATCATCTCAACACATGTACCTTCAAAATGACCTCAGGGATTTTTGATCAGTGAAACATTGTTCGAGCAGCGGAGCGGCAAAATGTGACCTTTTTTTGGCCGTTTTTGACAACATTAAATTTGCTCCCGTTTGCACAAACAAAGTCTGATTTGCACAAAACTTTAATACATTGTTCAACTCTAGGGTCTAGGTCATTTGAAAGTGAAGTGATTCAAATTGACACATTAGCGCCCCCTACAGACTATTTCAAAATTTTAGATGGGCATTTTCAAATTTAGTTTTTTCAAAATGTTTGAAATTTTGTGCATAAATCTGTTTTGCCCTCTTGATTCAAAAAGTCAATAGGGTCCAAGGCTTATTTCTTACCCTGTTGCCGTGGCGACGACAAACGCTCCCCATTCATTGCAAATGTACACCTCACACAAACATCAAACCAGCCTTGGCCGTTTCACAGATTCGCGTCAAAATCGCTCCACATCATCTCAACACATGTACCATCAAAATGACTTCAGGGAATTTTGATCAGTGAAACGCTGTTTGAGCAGCAGAGCGCCAAAAACTGGCGTATTTTTTTTCAGTTTTTGACAATAGAAAAATTGCTTCCGTTTGCACAAACAAAGTCTGATTTGCACAAAACTTGAATCCATGGTTCAACTCTTGGGTCTAGGTCATTTGAAAGTTAGAATTTTGAAATTGGCTCTATAGTGCCACCTACAACAGCCAATTTAAAAATGCCTATGGGAGGGGTTCGAGGTCAAAATTTTCGTAGAACCATTTAATTTGGTACACATGTTCCTCAAGTCAAGACATGGAAAAAATGTAATTATGGCTAATCCCTCCGACAAACAGGAAGCCCATAAATTTCACTGCAAAATGGAAAAATGAAAACCAATCATTCTCATACACGTCGGTTGGAAAGCGACTCCTCCTCGGCCGTTTCACTGATTGGCCTCAAAATTGTTACAAATCATCTCAACACATTTACCTTCAAAATGACTTCAGGGATTTTTGATCAGTGAAACGTTGTTTGAGCAGCGGAGCGGCAAAATGTGAGGGTTTTTTTGGCCGTTTTTGACAACATACATTTTTTCCCCGTTTGCACAAACAAAGACTGATTTGCATTAAACTTGAATCCATTGTTCAACTCCAGGGTTTAGGTCAGGTGAAAGTGAAATATTTTAAATTGGCCCATTAGCGCCCCCTAAAGACTGAGTCAAAGTTTACATGGGGAGCCAAACCAGCTCTACTTATCATATTCATTACAATTTGACTAACAATCTTCTATGGCTACGGGAACAAATCATCACACAACGGCGCCACCTCCTTTGAGCGGTGCTGCGTGGTACGGTGTGGTACGGCGTAGTGCGGGGCGTTGTGGAGCGCCGCATTGCGGCTTGGTGCGGGGCGGCGTGAGGCGGGACAGCATGGTGCAGGGCGGCGTGGTGCGGGGTGGCTTGGTGCGGGGCGGCGTGGAACGGGGTGGTGCGCGCGGTGCGGGGAGTCGCGCGGTGCGGGGAGTTGCGCGGTGCGGCGAGGGCCGTTCGACGCCGCTTGCGGCTTTAATTTTCTTTTTCTTTTTTTGTATTGAGTTTGGACAATGCACATTCATCAACATTGATGCCTTTAGCGTATAAATCAGTATAAATGCTCTGGATAGCATAACTGCTAAATTTCAGCCGTAGATTCAAGTAGATTGTTGCACTTGCATCTACATTAGTGTACTTAAATCTATAGTATCCACATGAAGTCTATATGGATAACTACCATAATGCCAAACCAACACTAACATAGTTTTTAGTTGTGATCCATCATCCATGGCTTATTCAGTAGTGATGAACTAGAACCATCCCCCCACAAAAAAAACTTTGCCCTGAGGCTGCTGTAAATGTCACACAGTTTGTCTACCTGCAAACAACGTTATTAATATAAAAATTAATAAATAGACATTTATTTACTGACAAACGTTTATTGATAATGCATCCATTTCACACGCGTTAATTCAGCCAGCAGTGCACGCAGACACTGAAGCCTAAGCTCATCTTCCCTCTCTGTGTGGGAGCTGGAATCACAGCTGTCAGCCTGAAGGCCAATGGATCTGCTCATCAGGTTTATCAGCATTTATATCAGAGGAGGAACTCGACAGTCACTTCAGGGACGACTTGGTCAAAGTAGGAAGTGGGATTTTTAAAAAGTTAAATTTTTGCAAATGAGACCTTCCTATCTTCCTATGTCTCTATCTAAAATTAATCTAATGTTCATGGAAGTAGATCTCTCCTTCACTATGATTTCTCTTTTTCCACTTGGATTTAATTGACCTTTCCCTCTGAAGAAGAGGCAGAGGTCTCCTGTTTGAATATATAATTTGCTATTGGTGAACTGTTTCTATTTCTATTTTTGTTTCTATTTGAACTCTCCATGTCCATGTTGTGTCCTCAGAAAGGTCCAGGGGGTGAAGTCTGTCGGGACACTCTACTGCGAAGCGATAGGCTGATGTTAGTTTTTCTCCTGTTCAGTAACTTGGGAGGAATATGGGACAAATCCCATTGCAAAAGTCTGTATTTATAATTATGATTATAATGCTCTTTCAAATGTTTGTACCACCTGACCTTTTTTTTCTCTATATTTTACAGATTGCATATTAAGTGATGGTTCAAGTTTAACCAATGACACACTATATTTTCTGGCAATCTTCAACCAGACATACAACTGTTTTGATCAGTACCAACAGGTCTGTACCACCTGCAGTTGATGCTTGAGGATGTATTTAGCATTATTATTCTTATTATTCATCTTGTGTTGTCTCCACAGGGTAACCACTCAGAACTGTGTAAGAACTGCAAAAGCACTTATCGTGATTTAAGCAACCTGTACAGTGACATGGAAAAGAATGATACAATGTGTATAGACATCGAGGACGCGGTATGAACTTCAAATCACTCTTTTTTTATCTTGCTTGTTTGAGGAATTCAATACAATTAATTTTTTTTGCATAGACCATGTTGGTTCTACCGTTAGTTTTTTACTGTTTGGCCTCTGTCACATCTTTAGATCAGTTTTTTCAGTCCCTCACTCGGCCAATAAGCTCTCTGATTCAGATTCAGTTTATTTGCCATGTGTAGTAAAACCACATTGGAATACATGTGCAAGAGTTTTCCCCAGTGTGCACCAGACAATTACATAAATAAAACAAGTTAAAAAGAAATTGTTGTCACTGTGAAATCAACAAAAACAGCTTCAATAACAAGTGCAAGGTAATTAAAGTGCTTGGTTCAGACTGAGCTTGTGGAAAGAAACTGTGGGCATATCGAGATGTCCTGCATCTCAGCGAACAATATCTTCTGCCAGAGAGAAGAAGCTGGAACATGGCTTTTCAAGGGTGGCCAGAATGTAAAAGATGAAATGTTTGTAATAAGATAAAGACTGCATGATCTGGTCTGATTTATTACAAAATGTTTCTTAAAGATGCAGGAAGCGATGTTGTTAGCTTAGCCATAGCACCAACTCGAAACCACTCCCCCATCCCCTGGCCTCTCCGCCAAACCAAACATCCAGCATTTTATTTTCTTTGTCACAACAGGGAGAGTGGGTGGCAAATGTGAAATTGGCATTCTCTGTTCAGCCCTTTCAGCTTTTAGAAAATCCGATAACATTGGTGCGGGGGGTAAACGCATCCCATTGGTTTGTTCGGGATGAAAGAATCCCATTGGTTTATTTTTATCGGTCCGCTCCAAAATATTTTTTATTAATTTTTGGACACTATAGGCATCTGGTCAATTCCATTACTATTTGAAAACACATGATAACTTGACTACTTTTAGGGTTTAGGGATGTTTTCAGTCAGTAAAAAAATCACTGACTGCATCTTTAAAGACTCTTTCTGCCTTTATGAAACAAACAAAAAAGTACCGTAATTTCCGGACTATAAGCCGCTACTTTTGTCTAGTTTTTTTTTTCAACCCTGCGGCTTATATAGCGATGGGGCTAATATGTGTACTTTTTATTGTGGTAGAGTTGTCAGTGCAGAGTTTATGGGCTTACTATTTTGACTCCATCAAGTTTTAGCAGCTATAGGACACTTGTTTATTGTCAAAATAGTGAATGAGTCATGGAAGCTAGCAGTTAAGCTAACGGCTACTCTGTTAAACACTTCGCCATTAAATCATGTGAACAGTTAAAACGGTCGTCTCTGCTACATTACATGAAAACCTATATTCCAGTGCGGCCTAGATGTGGACAAAACATAATCTATTTGAAAATTTTGCAGGTGCAGCTTATACAGGTCCAGAAAGTACTGTTCTTGTTGTAGTTCTGTACTGTCAAAATTGGTATCAAGTGTCAAGGCTTCTGAATTGAATAAGAACAAATAGCACTGGCCACCACTGACCAAAAATACTGACATGCTAATCGGCTTAGGGTGACCAGAAAAGCGTTCCATCAGCTGAGCATTTAAATTGCATTATGTATTTTTTCTTCAGATGAACGCGACCCGCAGACACTGGAGCAAAACCTTTAACTGCTCATTCCCACGTGAGGAAAACGTACCGATCGTTGCCGTGTCCAGCTTCATGCTTTTTCTGCCGATCATCTTCTACTTGAGCAGCTTCCTTCACTCGGAACAAAAGAAACGCAAGCTCATACAGCGTAAGTAACCAGCTTAATGCACCCATTGTCACACCCAGATTTTTGACAGGGTCTCCCCGAGTCTTTGGTCTGTGAAAGCCCTGGGCCAAACTGACTGTGATGTTGGTGAGGCTGTGGTTTTGTGTTTTTTCTAAAGCATGATGGGGTATAACTCACTTTGACGAGGCTCAGGGGTTTTGTCTTGCACCTTGAATGGTCAAAGAACACCTCAGAAGACGTTATTGTAGTGTAGAATAACTGGCTCACAATGGCAAAGAACACAACTGCGGCTATCGGTTTGCATTTATAAGGGAATTACGATCATTTATTGGTAAAGGCCATTTCTAGAGATGCCACAATTCTAAAAGGTTCATCGTTATAATTTTTTGGGGATAATTTGTTAGAAAAAATAAAATACAAATTTCTCAGATCATTTTTTTATAGTGTTTAGATTCACACACTTTGAGACATGTTTTGTCTGAATGTCATGTCTAAATGTTATGTCTGAATGTCCTTTCTTCTGGCCACCATCATGCTTATGTTGGTTTTAATGTATGTAACACCTTTTGGGATAAAATAACTAAATTGTAGAGTTCCACAGGTTCTCACAGAGAACATTAATAATAAAACTGCATTTGTTTTTATATAGTAATTATTTGGACACTCACATTGCATTTTTTTTCCACTCCATACACCGTAGCGATAAGCTTCTGCAGTAGTCACAACTGCCCTGTGGCATACTGACAGAAATGAGACAGAGGTCTCCCATCACAGCACTAACCAGGCCCTGCCCTGCTTATCTTCAGTGGTCCTCTGGTATTCTGACATTTTGGTTTGATACAGAGACACTTCCCACTGTTTCGTTAGACTGTGGCTTATGTCACATGTACTCTATTATTCAAGCACTGTTTAATGTTATTGTTTTTTTGCTTTTCAGCTAAAAGGGCACCACAATACACCAGTTTGATGAATATCCAGGACAAACTGAGTTGAGTCCCATCACCCAAGATCAGCAAATCTGTGGAAGATTCATAATACCTTGTTGGTTTCAAGACGTCAATTTCTATAACTCATGGACACTGGCATCTGAGGTTTTGAAAAAGAGAAAGGAGGTATATGACCATCACCAAAGTGTGGCCCCAAACAATAATGAGAACTCAGATTTCTTTGACTAATTTGCCCATTTCTCACACTTCTACTTTTCTATTTCCTACACAATGATAAATTGCTAAACTGACATAATATGGCTGTATGTTTGGTCGGCGAAACAAATGCTGTAATGATTGATTAGTTGACTAAAAAGACCATTGCTTTAAATATTTCTACAAACCTGGCCCAATTGAGCAACTTTCTGATCTGTTGGCTAATCGACAACTTTGTAAAGATCTCCGAGAACTGCACACACAACACTTAAATTAGAAAAACGGCCAATCGGATCATTACATCACTGAAAACAGGTGAATACAGAGTTCGATCTGGCTTGAATATAAAATCTGCTCATTTTTGCAGTTTTCTCATGAAAATTCTTATATTTAACTCTTTAGGTGCCAGCATTTTTTGAGAAATGTATTGTGAAATCGACAAATGGTGACACCCTGTAACTTGATCAATAACCTGACACAAAGAAAAACATTATATACGAGAAATAAAGGTAGAGATTTGTAGGAAGCCAAGTCTCTGTATATAAAGTGTCCTGGATCTACGAACTCGTGTTGCAAGGGGGTTAAAAGCGACTAAAGCTTCACCGCCCAACTTAATGGGTAAAACTCCAGAGACAAACTCCTGGTGGCATTTTTCTAATCAAACTTCACCTTCATTTTGGAAAAAAAAAAAAAAAAAATCCATCCTGGGTTGGATTTTTTGCCATCCGTCACTGGCACCGTGGCGACCCCTGGGTGGGGAGGATGCGCTGACGTCCGCCTGCGCCATTTATGGGCTTCTCAAATGGGCTTTCTGTCGCTAATGTATGTCGAGAAAAGGAGCTCAGAAAAGAACCACTTGATGTCCATTAGTTGTATCACGTATCTGCAGCGAGGAGAGGGAGGGCACATATCAGGAAGGAGGCGAATAAAGACCCACGGGGAAAAGCACTCCCAAAGTACCTCGCTGTGATGTTACCTGTTTTTGCGGGTTTTGTAAAGCTTTTAATGTGCTTTTGCTTTGTGCTGTTTTTTTTTTTCGCCCAATGATGTTTAACTTAATTTGTTAAGGGTTTCGGATGGAGGCCTTTACAAGACATGGTCATTATTAGATTGATGCATTTAGCCGCTAGCGATGCAGTGAATAAATGCAAATATTATAGTACACCAATTAAGACTTTTGTCGTCTGTAAACGCCCTTTCAGATTTGGGTCAGTGATAGCCATTTGTATATTAAACGCCCAAACTCCCAGAGCAGTCGATTTGACGGCTTTTTGTTTTCGCTGCATAATTAACTCAACTTTTGTACATTTTTGGTTAACAATTTCTGCATCTATTTGTAGTTTATTTATATTAAACAATCTGAAGTGTGAGTAGTTCTTCCTTGCCCTATATAAATAAACATTACTTGCTTAATTAACTCACAGAGCAGTCGTTGTGACGGCTCCATTCTATTTAATGTAAAATCCAAATGCCGCCTATTTTCTCTAATGTGCTGGACCTTGTGCTGGTCCTTGTGCTGGTCCTTGTGCTGGTCCTTGTGCTGGTCCTTGGTTTGGTCCTTGTGCTGGTCCTTGGCCGGGTCCGCTCTAGTCTTTGGGCGGGTCCTTGGTCTGGTCCTTGAACTGGTCCTTGAACTGATCCTTGCACTGGTCCATGGTCTGGTCCTTAAACTGGTCCATGGTCTGCTCCTTGAACTGGTCCTTGGTCTGGTCCTTGGACATATTCTGGACTGGTCCTGGACTCATTCTGGTTGTGGTCCAGCTTGGTTTTCTACCAGAGAAGAGCAAGGCATGGCAAGTTTATTTGTGTAGCACAATTCATACATAAGACAACTCAAACTGCTGAAGCACACAAAATAGCATTAAAATCATAAATAATTACATTTTTAAGTACATTAAAAAGAAAGATAAGATAAAATCCATCAGTTGTATGCACAGCTAAACAGCACTGTTTTTGACCTGGTTTTAAACATTGTCTCACATTTTCAGGAAGATTGTTCCAGATTTTAGCAGCATGAATCTGAAATGCAGCCTCCCCATGTTTAGTTCTGACAGGAGTCCACAGTCCATTGTTAGTTACCATTAGCAACACACTGTTTACGTGACGGCAGTTATCATTTAGGAGCATTTCAACAAAGTTTTTTCTGTATTTCGCATTATGTAAACTATTTTTAGCATGTGTTAAAAAAAAAAATCTAGTTGAGAACTAAAACTGTTATTTGGGGATTTTTTCTGGAGTACCTTACTTAGAAACCACAACAAATGATATAAATTTAATCCATTTAACCAGTCTGTTAAAAACTCAATAAATCAAAAGAATGTATTTTTAGCTTCCATCACGTCTTTATCAGCTTTTTCAAGATTATCCCCGTCTTTAGCCAATCAGCTCTTTCTGATTCTGAAAGTTTCTAATAAGACAAAGAGAGCATAGTGTTATAGATTTGTTCTCAAAATGTTGCTCAAACAAGACTTTCCGTCAGAACAAACAATATTTTTTAATGAAACAAAAGCTAAGTTAGGTTTTCCAGCTTTAATCCGTGTGTACAATTATATTTCATTGACATTATTCTCCTTTTCTTTACATCAGGCCTGTGCAGTTGTGCGAAGCTGATTCCAAGCACAAAAGTGAACCCGAGCTTGTGTTACATGGCCTTGTGTTTTTTGCAACAAGGGTTTTTCTCCGTCATTAACAGCTAATCTAAATGTGGGATAAAGATACTTGGTGGAATAATCGCAGCAACACATCCGTTAAACTCCTTTGGCTTTTTGGTCTTAGGAAGCGAAGCCTCCGCAGGCCAATACTATAAGCGCATTACATTTTCTGCTCAGTCATATGGTCCTGTTTCTGTATTATCTGCCTGTTGCAAAGGCCTTGGCACTGGTGAGGTGGGGTTTAAAGTCAACAAAATCCCAAGGGGCAAGCCGGACCAAAAGTTCAACACGTGGCTCTAAGATCGGGAGTTCTCTGTTATAAACAATTGGAGGTAAGTTAAGATTTATCAAACATATTCCTGTTTTGATTTAGTGGTTTGTTTAATGGAACAGTATTACATTCTGCTCAAAAGGAGGGGAATGAAGCAAAAGGCTTATGTGCACCTCCCCCCCAAACTCAATACAATAACATTTTCATCCATCCATCCATCCATAATAATCCAAAATAATACAGACCAAGGACACAAAAGCACACAAAGGCACAACTACAACAGCAGTCTTTCTTAAGTCAGTCCAAAAGAAGGTAACAAAAGGGGGCCGTATAATTTTGATTCTATATCATTCAGGGGTCTACAACCTGTAGCTCGCCACCCCCCTCTCAGCAAGAAGGTCTTGGGTTCGAATCCCGGCCGGACCAGGGCCTTTCTGAGTGGAGTTTCCATGTTCTCCCCGTGTCTGCGTAGGTTTCCTCCGGGCACTCCGGTTTCCCCTACCACTAAAAATATGTACAACAGGTCTGGCATGTGCCTCCTGTACTGGCGACCCCGCTCCCATGTCGAGTGAGTGGACAACTGCCCAAAAATAACAATTGTAAACCGCTTTGTGACTCTGGTCTGTGAAAGGCAGTATATAAGTAAAGATTACTTACTTAATGGCTGTACCCAATATCAGGCTTGTTCACACCAATGTCACCAATTTTTTCCCCCAAATAAGATAAGATAAACCTTTATTAGTCTCACAGTGGAGAAATTTCACTGCCGCTAAAAGAGTAGCTCTCTGCCTTTATCATCCAGAGAAAGAAACTCTCTTGGTAAAAAAGGTTGGCCTGATTTAGTTGGTTACTGATGCCAACAGTACTCGTACTACTAGTACTAATAGTGCTAGTACTAGTTGTGCTAGAACTAGTAGTGCTAGTAGCGGCTGCGGCTGTTAAGGGCAAAACGTTGTGTCCTTAGACAAGACACTTCAACCACATTTCCTAGAATGAGTGTGTGTGTGTGTGTGTGTGTGTGAATGGTTGGTGGTGGTCAAAGGGGCCGATGGCACATACTGGTTGCCTCGCTTCTGTCAGTGTGCCCCAGGGCAGCTGTGACTATAGTAGTAGTTTATCACCACCGTGTATGAATGAATAATGACATGAATAGCGTCTTTTAGTGTCCAACAAAGGGCTTTATAAAACCAATGCATTATTATTATTATTAGATTTAAAAAGACAAAGCAAACAAGTCAAATACAACAAAATTATTCTGAAGGGTTAAAAAACGTTTTATGGTGCCGCTAATTAGAAATAAAGCCATGTGCTGGAGTGTGGGGGCGAACTGTTGATGTTTGGGAGGTAGAGTGTCTTTTGTTCAAACAGCCGCAGTCTCTCCAGGCCCAGACCTTCATCATTATATTTAGACGTACTTATAACTCTCATACACTTTTAATGAATCCTCTGCATTGATGTTGTGAAGTGACCATCACTTTCTATAAACATCCAAAAGGTTAAAATTGTTTAATTGAAGATTGGGATATGCAGGGTTATGAAGAAAAGATGATGGTCAACAGCCTCCTCTGCATGTTACCTTCAGAACGAGGCCAGTGTTTCTGTCCTTCCACTCTCAATGCAGTCCGCGGAAATTGACATGCCATGACTGTTCTTTGACAAGCCAATAACCCTCTCAGAGACTATTTCGCCCAGCAAAAGTCTGTGTATTTTGTTTTAATGATTTCCTTAATTGAATTTGGCTGTTTTACCTTGACACATCTACATTACAGTATGTCCCATATCCTTGTGCCGCTAACATGTACTGATATTGCTTATTTTTAATTTTAAAGATAGAGATCAGATTCTATTCTATTTAGTATAGAGTTATTGTTCATTAATCTTGTGCTGTGTGTTTCTCATTCCTACTGTTCTGTCACTGGTGATGCAACAGTGAAATGTCCCCACTGTGGGATGAATAAAGTACCATGTCACATTTACATTAAACTTGTTGCAAAATGTGGAGCTATTTGCACCCAGATCTATGTTTTGAGAATAATATTAAGTGATCCTTTTTTTCATCCGACAGTGAGGAAATTTCAGTGTTGCATGATCACCTGCAAGTAGGAATTAAAAGCACACAGCAAAAGATTAGTGAACAAAAACTCTGTACTGAAACTTATCTTTTCATACTTTGGCATAATCAAAAAGCAAGTCTAAAATAAAACAAATCCATACCACAGTAAAGAAGCCAGAATCAAGAACACGGTATTTTACTTTAGAATAACAAAGAAACAAGAGTTAAATATTAAGTATATTTTGCTCAGTATGAGATGCCGATGCAAGGTGATCAATGTTCCCCACATTCAATCCCAAGCAATGACCGAACAACGAGGTTTCATTTCCTCATAATATACTTTAATTTTCCATTGCCAATATTTAGAAATGGTTATAGGAATTATGTGGTTACACAATGGGCAACAGTAAGCTGTCAGTTAGTTAACTCGCTGAAGGTCAGGCCTGGATTATCACGCACCTCAACCCCAAAGCTCTGAATATGATGCTTTGTTTGACAAGCTGTAAACATATGCTTCTAGAGAGGGATTTGCAGATAGGTATAAACACCAGAGGCATACCAGGCAATAAGGAAGGGAGTCACAAAGGAAGGAATCTTTATTTATATTGCACCTTTCACAGACCAGAGTCTCAAAGCGCTTTACAATTGATATTTTTTGTCCTGTCACTCCACACAGAGATGGGAGCAGCGTCACTATAAAAGAGGCACATGCCAGACCTATTGTAAGTTTTTAGTGTTAGGAGACACCGGAGCACCTGGAAGAAACCTACGCAGATGTGAGGGAACATGCAAACACTCAAAGGCCTGGAGGTGGAATAACACCACTCTATAAGGGCTTCAAACAGTCTGGTGAAAGCTTCGAAATTACAGCAAATTCTCTCAATAAAATGTTAGAAAATAAAAGGTCAGATTCAAGAGTTTTTTTTAAAAGTATTATTTATATGGAGATGTTTTCAAAATATTATTTACACAGATGACACTTCATATTCCAGTCAAATTGGGTTGAATCATTCGTTAACTGTTGAAATAATCATTAGACCATGTTCAGCTACCTTAGAGCTCTGAAATCAATATTGTATTCACAGTCAGCTGTTTGTGACATATCATCTGAATACATGTCAGAACCTTTGGCTCTGACTTACATCCATGTGTCTACAGTGAAAAGGGAACACTTGAAGCTGAAAAGGAGCACAGGGCAGGGGGCACTCTTCAGGGCAAGACCATCTGACCCTGTGTCCCTATGGTCCTGGCTCTGTTTGTGTGCACCAGTGAGCTTCTATCAGCTTGATTAGACATCCTGGATTATTTACATGACATGACTAAAGTAGTGTCCTGAACAGAGTGCGCTGTTCTGTGTGTGATCTGCATCTGAGGAACTAAGAGCCACTTCAAGGGTTTCGTCTATAATGCTACAGAGCCATCTAGTGTTCAGCCCACAGAATGTAAGTTCAGCCATAAAACTCTCATAACCAGCGTGGAAAAATATCTTCTGTTGCTTTTATGTTCAAATCAATCCATATAAAAATTGCCAAATATCTGCAAGATTTTTTTCTAAGAAGATATATGCACAGAAACCATAGTAAAGTATTAATAATATACATTTATGGGAGGACCGTGAAAGCACCATATTACCATAGCAACGCATAGACAAACGGGCCATACCCAGCGCGGGTTATAGCAGCGTTAAATTCTCTGAACATTTAACATACATAAATATTATAATAATAGATTAAATACATGGACAATACTGGAGAGCTTCAGACCCAGACCCCAGGAGACAGGTCACCAAATGAACCCGTCGTTTATACAGGGTAAGTTTTCCTGCTAGCTTAGCATTTCGCAAAATATTACTAATTTACAGTTTCAATTAAAAATGTTCTAAAAATGTGTTCTAGGGTCTCAAAACAGAATGATACGAAGAAGAAGGAGCCAAAATATGAAAAAATGGTTTGTATTGTATTATAACCTAAACTAGGATCTCCAACCTTTACCAAAGTGGCTGTCGACATAATGCTATAATGGTAAAAGTAGATTTTATCCTGAAAACATGTCCTAAAAAATTGAACAACAAGCATCAGCCTCATTTTAAGCATGGTATAGCAAATGTATTTCTTGTTCCATTGAGAAACCTTGTTCCGTTAAAATCTTCCCAAATTAATGTTGGTAAATTTGGTTCTATCTATCTTTGGCATTGGTTGTGTAGTGTTATACCCGGGCCATGCAACAATCTATCATATATTTTTTTTATGCAAAAAGTAGGCATCTCTTTATATTTACCCATCAAATTATCCTTGGAGACCCTTGACCTAAACTATACAATTTAACCTTTTGCTGCTGTTACGTTTGATGAAGTTTTGTTTACAAGTTTGGTTTGTTTTTGTTCCTTAGCTGGCTGTATCTGAAAAGTTTATCAAACTCAAAAGAGATTTAAACACAATGGTAACTAATATTAACGCGGCTGCTGAGTCGAGAGAAGTGCAGTGGAGGACTGATATAGAGAAAGCCCGTAGAAGAAGGTTAGCTACTTATAACTGTAAATTGTTCATTCATTATTTTCCCAGACACCTATCCACTTTTGAAATGATTTCTAGGCTACAGCTTCTTGAAGATCATAACTTATCCAGCAAGGACAAACTTGAAGAGATTTGCAAAGGCTGGCACTCCACCAAAGAGAAAGTGATTCCTGAAGAGGTGCAGGCGGCTCTTCTGCACCAGCAGCAGCTGTGTGAGGAGCTATTACAAGACAAGAAAACAATCATGGATTTCTTTCAGCAGGTAACCCGGTAATTGGTCTTAGATATGAAGGTACCTAAGCTCAAAATGCCTTGTTCTGTCTTTGTTTTGAAAAGGACATAAAGGCCAGAGATGATGTCTTTGTGGCTGATCTAAAGAAACAAACAGAGGAACTTCAACTAATGCTGGAAAGAATGGAGCAACAGGACAAAACTTTGACAAAAGCATACAGAGAGGAGCTGGATCAATGGAAGGACGTTAGTGGTTTTAACATTTCAATTCAATTGAATTTATTCTTGTAGAGCCCTAAACCACAACAGTAGTTACCTCAGAAGACTTTACAAAACCGTTGAAAAACAAACAGTTCAAACCCAAAGAATAGAAAAAATATAGGTATGTTAAACATAGGTTAAACATGAGCAATGTCCATAAATGTTGTTGAATGTTCAGTAAACACTTCTCTTCACCTGTCCTGGCCTCATGACTAATTTATTGTATTTGTACACCATTTGAAAAGTCAGAAGTTAATGTTTCTGGTGCTTAAATTGAATAAAGTCAACAACCTATAATTGGAAACACTGTAGCCTGATTAAAGTCAGATGTTCATATTTTTTTCTCCAGTGTGAAAGTATGCTTACATATATGTTTTATGATATAACATGTCAATGAACTGAGCCTCGTGTTAAACATTTGATTCTTGAAGATATTTTTAATCTCAATCTCTCATCTTTGTGTCTGAACAGAATGTGCAAAAACAGGAAGAAATGATGCTCGCTGAAGAAAAAACAAAGTGGGAGAAGTGTATGAAGAACCTTTTGGACACTGAGGTCTGAAAACAAACTTTGTGTTTGAGTTTGTACGTTTACATCCTTTATTGTGTGTTTGTGTTTTTAGGTTGATAGACTTTCAAAGAGAGAGCAGGCAGTGGAAGAGTTTAACGGCCAAATTCACAATCTGATGTTTGAAACTTTGGAAAACTTCAACATTGTTAGAAATAAGGAAGTTGACGAATTTCAGGTGCATTGTATTAAATATATATTAACTGAGGCTTAATTCAAAAAACGTAACCGATAGCCATTGTTGTTTTTTTTCTGTAGCGCATAGAACTGGAAATACACCAGATCGAAACAGAGAAAATCTTTTTAGAGCAGAAAATTGAGGGACTAAAAGCTGATAATGCAAAAGTCAAGACGGAATGCTCCCAGCTGAAAACGAAAGTAGCAAGGTAACGTTGTGACGAGAAATAGTTCAGTCTTTCCTATCTACCTCCTGCATCTCATTCATCTTTTGTTTTTGTTAATTTTTTTTATTCTTGTGGGGCTCAAACAATCACAGTAAAAAGTCTGAACTGAAAAAACAACGGGCGAATAAAGAAACAACTGAAGGAAAAAGAAAACAGCTTATGGAGAAACAGCTGAAAGAGTTGAATCATAAAGCCCAGGACTATGAACGTCTCCAGAAGAAGAAAATGTGAGTTTATAAGGGACTGATGGTGGGACAGGAAACACACAAAAAACATTTCACTGTTTAGGCTTTTTAATTAGGCAAAAAATGTCAAAATGAACAACTGAACATGACCACACTGACCGGACATTAAACTGTGTGATCAAAACAACTATCAATCAAAGAGGTAACAGGACTACCTAGCACCTTAGCAATAGTAATGATAATCAATAATAACATTGGCAACATAGGCCAAACTGTAAACAATATAGACCCAAATAGACCTCCCAAACTTCCTCTCTTATGGGAAATAAAAATAAGGACGTAAATGAGTTCAATTTGAAAGGTCTCGGCATAATCCTCACAAAAACCTTCACGTTCATATTTTTCTTCACATCTTTCCAGTCACATCGCTGTTAACGACGCCATTCAATATGAGAACATGTGGCTCTCACAAGACGCAGAGTGCAAGGAGCTGCTGGAGAGAGCTTTACACGTCGAATCCAAAATCCATGAACACTTTTTGCATTTACCCTGGGAGCAACCAAATCTAAGCTTCGCAAAACCCGGGGTTAGATGGGAGGGGTGCGGCCAGGAACAGGCAGATGACTTAAAAACCTTTGCTCACAACGGAGAATCAGTGACAGAAAGTGTAAACAGCAAGAGCGAGAAAGAAACGGAGAGAGAAAGCAACGTAGCGACTCCCAGGACTGCAAAGAGGCTCATGGAGATACTCTGTGATGAGACGGTGAGAAAAAAAAAAAAAATTCAATATTTTTTTATTTATTGGAGGAAAAACCACAACAGACAATTTCCCTTTTAGGATTTTCTGTTTGAGGTTAAAATGGTAAAACTCTTTGATGCCTTGGGTCAAAAGGAGCGGACTCTCACCAAGATGGGTTATCTTTTTAATGTAAGTATTCTCTGGTTAAAGAGCACTATGATGAACAGGATGCTTCATTTTGTCAATTTTTAGACGCTTGGCATTAAGGAAAAGGATGTGCCGAAGTTGGTGGATTTCCTGTATAAATATGGCAAGCAGACCAAAGAAAGTGGAGTGAGTAAAACCATTAAGTTGTATTATTAAAAACTGAAAAATTTAAAAAAGAAACCAGATACAGTTGGACTGATTTAGTTTAGAAGCTGACGTTCCGCGACGAACCAGACAGCTTCATCAGGGCTTAGTTTGGTGACTTTTTTTGGTACCCACTAGATGTAGTCCTGGGAGGTGTTTTGATTTGATTTGAATAGCTTATTTTGAGCCACACAAAAAGCACTGTACCCACAAGCTTTAGAGAACGTAGTCCTCTGTGTCCGTTCAGGTCCGGGCTCAAAGATTGTTGGGAGGTATTTGGTAGCAAAACATATTCTAAACTAAGTCCAGCTATGGCTCTCTTTTTTAATTCCTTATATTATTCACCTGGATGTATCAAGTTACATTCATTATATCATTTCTAATACCATATTTTTTCCAGGATGCTGAGGCTACAGAGCCCAGGTGCTCCACAGTTGAAGTTGAGGCCTCTGGTTCAGTGACTCCTGACCCCATCGATCGAACTGACATCCTGGAAGCTCTGAAGTGCTTCCTCGACAAACAAGAGAAGTTAGAGAAGTGTGTGAGGGGAAAGCAACTCCACTCTTCTCTGTACCACTATATATACTGTATATAGATGGACAATGCTAATAAAGCCCAATAGGGAATTTCTCATGGATGAAGTTTTGATCCAACTTGCTCAGACTCCTATTGAGTTACATCTTTTTTTTTTTTGCTTTAAAAAATCCTGGTGTTGATATGTTGAAATCGTCTTTGTACACTGCAAAGAGTGATGAAAAATAAGTAAGAAATTGCTCAAATTTGGAAAAATGCTTCTTTATTTGAGTAGTTTTTGACTGCCTTAAAAAAAGATTTGCCAATGGGACAAACACAATGATTTAGTTTTTAAAAGATACTAGAAATGTCTCCCTTGAAATGAGAAAATAAAGCAGTTCTTGAAATAAGACTAAATGGCTTTATCCGATTGGCAAATCTTGTTTAAAGACATTCAGAATGTGCTCAAGTTAAGATTAAAACCACTCCATTCAAACAATTATTACTTCATATTTTGTTGATGTTTTGCAGTGCAAATCCAGATATGAGCCTTACAATGACTGACCAATCAGATGCCTTCATTCGTAGGAAAAACTACACCTTTCCTTGGCAACCATCTTAGCAACACATCTGCCCCTGTCACAGCGCAAGAAATGCCCCTACAAGAAAACTGGCTCCAGCTAGCTCATGTTAAAACCAGCTCCACTCCTACTATTCGGCCCATGGTTCCTCCACGTGTGGCCATCTAAGCTCTTGTGTGTTTTTGTTTGTTTTAGTCCCTCCAGGGTGAAGTGGAGTGTGCAGAGTCTGGAGCCCCAGGATAGCTCTAAAGAGAAGGCTTACTGGGAAAGTCTGGGCAACGCTATCACAGCAGACAAACTGAAGGTCTGGGAGGTGATGGAGAAGAAGCTGAAGCAGCACCAGTGAGTTCTTCTGGTTCATAGGCGTTGATTAGAGCCCTAGCTACTGTTCCCTCTGCTATGTCCTCCAAAGTAAAAAAAATAACTTTTGACATTTCTGACACCCTCTGGTCCTCCTTTCAAGAACTTAGTGATGAGGACACTGAATTTTAGCACAAAGACAAAAATGGTGATAATAATTACCATCACAGATAAAAGGGACAGTATGTAAGCTTTTTATTTTTAATTATATTTTTTGGGCCACAATGGGCCACTTCTAGTACTACTACTACTACTGCTTCTTCTACTACTTTTACTACTGCTACTACTAATAATGATATGGTATTCCTTGTTGCAATATTTATACATTCAAATAACAATATAATAACATTAACTGTGTAATGTATCCTATACTGTCATACTGTTACAGTGTGACAGTTTGTAAGCTTTTTATTTTTTGGGCCACAATCATCATCAATACATTTTTATAACACCGTATCTTTAGGATTACTAACAACTGAAAATCATTGTGTATCTAAATGAATGAAAGATAATAATCACAATCGGTTAACTGAATGTTCTATCCAGGTCTGTGTAGAGTTCCTCTGGGGGCTCGAGTTTCCCCATACCACTAAAATCATTGACAATAGACTCCTCGATGGCCAGGGCTTTAAATTATCATGGTTTATTGTCCTCCTCTGAATAAGTCTTAAAAATTAACATTGTCTTGATTTAACACTGAAGGCAGCACTTCTGTGTAGTAGATTTTTCTGATTTTTGCCGCATACGCACGACTCTTTGTGACTCTCTGTACCAGCACTGTGATGTCGAAAATCTCCGAATTCAATCAGGAAGTCCAGAGTCTGCAGCAGGAGAACACAGAGCTGCAGATGGTGTGCATGCTTCTGCAACAGAGTGACTGATGTAAGTGCTTCCCCTTTTAAATGCACATTCAAGTCTTCATTATCTATTATTATATACAGTATGTATAGTGTATTTTCAGTCATTTTAAAGCTTCACTGGTGACAAGTGTTAGAATCTTTGTTAGTAATAAAACCCCTTAACGATATCACCTCTACCCAATCCTAACAAAATACACAATTTCATAACATTTTGAAGCAACTTTTGTTAAAGTTAAACTCATCATTCTATCAATGTGCAGAAGCCTGTACTTTTCCCTTGTTTTGTCTATCTGAAGGCCAAGCTACATGGCACCGTGGCAGCTGCTGATTGGAGGTCTCCATGCCTCCGCTCTGTATAATACACTTGCATTCTGTTGTTCGTGCTGTCTCTACCATCGACAATAAAACATGTCTTCTGTCTGAATGAAAGACACGATCCCAGACATGTCATCTTCTTCAGGTGGTGGGAGAATGCGGGCCTTGTCTGTAACATCTAGAGAACAGAAGACTCTTTTTTTTTTTACACAAAAAGTGTTTTTTTTTTTTAAGCCAAAATTGAGAAACCTCAAGAGAAACCATGCATCTGGACCAGCACATGGACAATCTGCACAGCCCCTGATTCCAGTCAGGCTGTGAGCTGCTGAGACATGGACAACACCATCGTCCTCTTTTGCATGGACATCATTTGGAACAATTGGATTACACAATTTGGACATGATTTGGAACAATTGGATATCTGAATTTGGACATCATTTGGACTGAATTGGATTTCTGAATCTGGACACTAAAGCTGAAACGTGTGATTGAAAGACACGTCACAGAAGAACTCATTGCTCGACACAAATGCAGCCTGAAGAAACCAACACAGAGAAGTGGGAGAGACTGTGTTCAAAGCAATATCTGATACCAACCTTCGACTGATGAAGTTTGGTATTTTGCTGAAGATTGTTGACAAGTTTTATGAAAGATCTGAATTTTTTTTTGAAGTATTCCGAGTTCTGAGTTTTTTGAAGTACCGAGTGAAGTACCGAGTTTAAGTATTGAGTTAGGATGTTATGTTGCTGTTTATCGATCCTGATGGTCACACGTGAATGTGTGACCAGAGTGGGGAATGTGAGATTTCATAACACTTTTAAGCAACTTTTGTTAAAGTTAAACTCATCATTCTATCAATGTGCAGAAGCCTGTACTTTTCCCTTGTTTTGTCTATCTGAAGGCCAAGCTACATGGCACCGTGGCAGCTGCTGATTGGAGGTCTCCATGCCTCCGCTCTGTATCATACACTTGCATTCTGTTGTATCTGTTGTTTGTGCTGTCTCTACCATCGACAATAAAACATGTCTTCTGTCTGAATGAAAGACACGATCCCAGACTTTGTCATCTTCTTCACTTACTTACTTTTTAAAATCCAAAATTATCCCAAAATGGAGAGAACTTTCCCTCAGTTGATTGGCCCTCTCCCTCACTGAACTAACTGTGTGTGTGTACGTGCGTGTGTGTGTGTGTGCGCGCGCGCGTGCGTGTATGTGTGTAAGTGAGTGTGAGTAAGTGTGTGTGTGTGTGTGTGTTATTACTTTGTGTGTATGGAGAGAACGTGAAGAATTAGGACAGAGTAGTTTTAATATACATTTTATGTTGAATGAAATGATAACGTCTGTCTGATAATGTGTGTCTACTTTTGTTTTACTATTTTACAACAACCTGCTCATGCTCAGCTCAAGGACTACAGGTGTGAATTAGCACTGCTGCTAATGATGCATCTCTCCTTTTGGCTAATGTTTATTGCACACTTTCCCTGTAAAAAACGAAATCCATACAATATTGCCTGATTTTATTAAAATGAATCATTAGCGCTCTGCCCTTAGTAAGAATATGTTCGTTTGCGGGAGTGCAAGTAGTGCCATGCTCAAGCTAGCAGTCACCGAGATATGTAAGCTCGATATTCTCAAAGTGTCCTCTCTTTATTTCCTTTTTTGTCTTACATCAAATGCAACTTGACATGGAAAAGCGCCAACATCTCTCAAGTTTGTGCTCAGGACAGAAATATGTAGTAATCAAACTTTTTATCACTTTGAATGTGAAGAAACCTGCTGTGGCTCAGATAATAGACTGTAAAGCAGCTCTTCATGGCCTCGCACCAAACTACATCTGTGACATGTTAGTACCATATGAACTAACTCGGACTGTGAGGAGCACAGGGACTGGCCTCCTACTGGTGCCCAGAAGAAAGCATTTCAGATTTATGCAGCTGAAACAGTCTTCCTGAAAATGCGAGCCAGGCTTGTTCTCTGACAATGTTCAAACCCGGGTTAATAACTTTTCTGTTTAGCTGTGCATTCAACTGAAGGATTGTATCTTCACTCTTTTTAATGTACTGTGATTATTTATGGTTTTAATGCCTTGTTTGATGGTTTCTATCTTTTTTTTTTTTTTTTGACCTTTATTAAACCAAGAATGTCCCATTGAGATTAGAACCTCTTTTTCAAGAGAGTCCTGTTTTGTTGAGCACATTGAGTTGCCTTGTGTATGAACTGTGCTATACAAAATAACTTGCCCTGCCTTGCTGGACCATTGGACTCTGTTCTGTGGAGTTATTCTAAACCGGAACATTGATGTTGTTGAGGCTCTGTCTCACAGCTGCTGCACGGTTGTGTAAGTAAGTAGTAAGTCATCTTTATTTATATACCGCCTTTTCACTGCAGATCTGAAGTCTCAAAGCGGTTTACAATTGTTAATTTTTTTTGGGGCATTTGTCTCTCACTCCACACAGAGAGAGGCGAGAGTGCTATCCACTCAGCCACCGTGCCGCCCGTATGCGCAACTATTGCGTAGTTTTTATTTTATCAACATCTCCTTTTTTGGTTTGTGTTCAGCAAAAAACAAACACATACCGTCTTTATCTGACTATAAGCCACAGCTTTACTCCTGCATTTTGAAGGCTGCGGCTGTGCGGCTTAATTATTGTTTTTTTCTGTGGCATCAAAAATATTTTACTAAGTAACAGTAGAGTTCAGACCAACAGAATTGATGAGTAGTTTACAGAGGTCCAAATAAATTGCAGTATTTGTCAATCAAGCAGATTAAATAAAGTTTGAAATTCTTCACTTATATCTTATCTGTGTAAATCTCACAATAGTTTTTAGGTTCTCTGGATCCACAGGAAAGTGAAAAGAGACCAGTAGATGTTGATCTTTTTGCTTCAGACTGAAAGATTAAAAACAGCCGCTCAGTGACTCACTTCTTACTCTTATTACTCACAGTAATATTACTCACAGTAATGAGAAGACGTGATGAACGATCTTGAGCTACATTTTTCTATATTGCAATGTGGGCATTTTATAATCCAATATGGTTTATAGTCCATAAAATATGTTACTTGCAGATACAGCTACCTTTTATTACTAAAACTAAATGTAACTTCACATCAGTAGAATTGACATTAATGCAAAACATTTATATAGTTATTCACAGCTTTATATAAATATTCAACAGACAACAGCATATAACATTTGTGTGGAACACTTACTGTATGATAGAAGTTTTATTTCTTTTATCTACTTGATAAATATGGATATCTAGGACTCCCAGAAATATCTAACTACTAGAACTCCTATAGAGCTGTCATGTCTAAAAAGCTAGTGAGCTTACAATCAGCTTTATCAAAATGCTTTACTGTGCCAAAACTGGGGATAATTACTTGAAAAAAAGAAAACAAAACTTGTTTGTTTGTTGAAAAGCTAATGCTAACTGGTAGCAGTATGTTGCTGTGGTTACTAGTGCTTGCTCTTCTCTACTTATCCACTCCATTTCAAAATGAAAAGATAATTTCATAAAACTAATGACATAGAAAGTTATGAAGATCAAAAACGCACATGAGCTGAGTAATTACACTTTCAAAAACTAAAAGCCGTCAAATTGACTGCTTTGGGAGTTCTTCTGATTGACGGTCAGGGGACGAAAGAGTAGAAAGTCTTGTTTCTTGTTTTTTATGTTGTGGAGGTATTTTTACATGACTTTTACGTGACATGAGTTTTGCTATAACTTTCTGCTTGATTTTTCTGAAAACAAAATGTGCTTATTGTTCAGATTGAACCAAAACTGGACCAAAAGTTAAACACATTGTTTTACATTCAACTATTTAACTTCTAATGATGTGTTTAATTTGGTTAAAATGTTAGATTAAACTAAATTTGCTTGTTTTGCTGAGAAAATAGAGGATGTATAACATGCCTTGGTAGCTCATAACCATCAATGCTGCATGGTTATAATAACATGGTTATAATAACATGGTAATAATAACAATTTACAATCATCTTAGGGGCCACTCAGACTTGTCTTGCTATTATGGACCACGAGCCTGCCATGATAGAATATGTACAATTAATGCACAAGACCTACTCCACTGATGTCTGCTGTCGTTGTGTCCTTGAGCAAGACACTTAACCCATTTTGCCTATAAGGAGCGCGCAAGTAATGTTCGTTGCATGCCTTGATTTATATATGTGTATTCATCAAACTGAAATTTCCCCACTGTGGGACTAATGAAGGACCTTCTTCTACTTCTTAAATGGATTACTTCTCGTTAACTGGCTTCATGACCACAATCCTTCCTCCAGAGGTAGTCGTGGTCGTCATGGTCGTCGTGCCCATCCCGAAGTCCGCGCTCAACAGTTTTTCCTTGAGGAACGGGGGGCAAAAGTTGTTAATGTATGCATTTTTGAAGCCACTGTTGCAGAAGCAGTACACCAGCGGGTCCAGGAGGCAATTGATGTAGGAGAGGACCTCGAGGCTGTCGTAGACCTGGACCGCCACGTTCTCTGCCCCGTCCTTGTCCTTGATGCGGACGAAGAGGAGGGCGGCTCGGGCCAGGGCACACGGCAGGAAGCACAGGGAGAAGACGAAGACCACGGAGAGAACCACGCACACTGCCCGCCTCAGCTTCGTCTGGTCCCCCACCGTCTTCTTCCTCAGACGGTTCACGATGCGCACGGTACAGAAGACCAAGATTATGAAGGGGATTATGATCTGGATAAAGAAGACGATCTTGGGGGGGGGGGGAAGAAAGAAAGAGAGGGGAATTATTACTGTTTGTGTGAAATACATAAACAACATCAGGGGTATTCAACTCGGTCATCAGATTTGCTTCTTTATTATGTTAAAGCTAGATTTTATACTTGCTTCTTTCTTATGCTAAAGTTAGACTTTTTTTAGTAGTTATTTTTCATCTATCTTGTGTTGCATGCTCCTCATACTGTTCTGTAGCCGGTGCTGCAATACTGAAAATTCTCCACTGACCAATGCATTTAACAGCTATAAGCTAGTAAAACACTATCCTGTAATTATTATAAAGCCATGGTCTATAACTTTGCCCGGAGACTTGAGGAAAAGGGTGGAGCCTGGCATACTCTTGCTTGGTTGGAATAAAAACCTGCAGAGTTAAATACCATCTGAAACTCAAGTTGGAGTCTTTGAAAATGTAATTTAGTTGTACATGTCACCTAAATCTCCAAAACCAAAAAAAATTTTTTTTATTGAAACCTATAATAGATCCATGATTGAAACCCATCTGACTCATTCCTTGCTCTCAAAACAGTTAAGTTCTCACACTTCTAACTGGGGCTCAGTGACATCTTTAGATCAGTACTAGCCCTTAATCAGCTCTCAGTATGTAAAAGATAACATATTTTCCCTTAAGATAAAGACAACATGATGTCGTCTGATTTGTTCACAACAAGACTCTTTCTGTTGGGCTAAAAAAAAAAAAAAAAATCATAAAACAAATAGGTGAGGGTTAGGGTCCGCAATTTTTATTATATTCCATTGTGAAATTAATACATCTTTTTGACCACTGGACGCTGCAGTAATATCATGTATTTTTAAATATACATACATTTTAAGCAGTCCCTTGGAATAAGCATCACTACTAGTAAGATTTGAGGAGAACAGTGAGATCAATAAGGAGGGGCCTTAGCTGTCTGTCACGGATTTGAATGATTTGCACCCAATCAGTAACCAGTGGGGGCAGGACTAACTGTTTTCCTGCCTTTGAGAAATTGTTTCTCCATCTTCACAATTCAAGTGTTTGTATTTGTATTTTTTTTATTTTTTCATTTTGATCTACAGTAGTTGTTCAAACCTAGCTATTCCTTCTAGAGACGCTCACTTCACTTTGACGCTATAGGACTCCCAGAATTATGAAACTGCTTGAACTCCCAGAGCTGTAATTTTGACTGCTCCTATTAAAACCAATGTAATTGGTTTGATATTCCCCCCAAACAATTGTTTTCCTAAGTTTTCCGATAGGTTTAAAAAAAATCCTTTTTACTAACAGCTAAGACTGGTGATTAACTTGAATTACAGCAAAAACAGGCTACCAAATGCTAACCGCTGGCAAGTAGCTACAGTATGGCAACTATGGTGAAAGATAATTTCATGAAAATAATGGCGTAGAAATAAAGTACACTTTTCTTCCGTCATCACCGTGTGTGGAGAGAAAGGAAACTATCTGAACTCTGAACAATTGTAAAGTGCTTTGGATGACCTTGGTCTGTAAAATGCGCTATATAAATAAACATTACTTACTTACACATAGAAACAGAAAATAGTTATGAAGACCAAACATGTGGTCATAAGCTGAGAAACTACACTTTCAATACTCTCAAATTGACATTTTTCAACATTTGTGAAAAAGTTAAGACATTTTTAGATATTTTTGGACATTTATCAACATTTATGGACATGAGTCTATGTGGTTTTATAATTACATTTCTTGTGTTTGAACTGTGTGATTCTCAGATCCGTGTTGGCAAATTTAACGGCAATTTTTGCAAAGACCTCTGAGATAACTACTGTTGTGATTTAGAGCTATACAAGAATAAATGTAATTGAATTGATGTGAAGCTCTCACCTCTCTGAATGTATCTATCATGTTGCTGGAGGTCGTCTCTTTGTTCCTCCCGTGGCTGTTGCAACACTCAAACGTGCGCAGCATGGTGGGGATGGTGAGGGGCAGGAGAAGTAACCAAATTACCACAGAGATCTGGGGGGTATTCTTCAGAACTTTGACAAAGTTTTTCCTGCCCAGATGCACCACATTGAAGTAGCGGTCCAGTGAGAGCGTGATGAGGAAGCCAATGCTGGCCCCGCGGTTCAGAAAGAGCATGAAGATCATGATCTTACAAACCACTTCGTTCGGACTGTGACGCTCCCCGTTCAGGTAATGATGCGCCTTAATGGGAAGACATGCAACCAGCAAGAAGTCGGCCACCACGATGTTAAACAAGAAGATGCTCTTGTTCTTCCAGAATTTGTATCTAAAGAGGAAATAGGACACAAAACAAACATTGAGTGTTACAGGTTCCACTTCAGGCTCATTCAGCAATAGTAATGTCAGTAAGTGAACCGGCAAAACAGGGACATTTTTATTATTGTTTTTCTATGAAAGCACCATTTAGGCCCGCCTCCACAGGGACCTGATTGGACGCAATGAATTCAAAGCCCTAGATTGACAGCTCACCATTGGTCTAACTATTCTCCTCCAGCCAATGTCACAGTTGAAGCTTATTCCAAGTAGAATGACTGTTTTCTGATATATTTATTTTGAAAAATACTTAATCTAGACGATATTACAGGTTCATGTCATCAAAAATGTGTCTTCTTTTCAAAGTGAATGCAAATGGTGTTCACCTTAAAGAGTCCAGGATCTATGTTAATTTTATATATTCATTCATTCAAGCAGAAATGGTTAGATTTGTCATATTTTGGCCTACTTTGTATATAGTATACACATAAACATGCATAGATATAAACATACATATATACGCAATTTTTAACAGTTTTACCATGTTTCAATATATTTACAAATATACTTTATATACGACTTTATTTACAATTCATCAGTTGGAAATGGCAGGAAGAAGAAAAAACATTTAAGTTGATCTTGTCCCTAATGCTAACCCTATTCCAAAGCCCCCTGATTGGTCGGCTCTAACTTTTCCCTGGGTAAACACCTGGGGCCGTATTCCTAAAGATTCTTACTGCTAAAAGTTGCTCCTAGTGGCCAAATTCTAAGAATTTTCTTAGAATCTTGACCAACTCTTAGAATTTCCCCTAAAAATGAGGAGTAGCTCCTAGTTAAGATAAAAGCTATTCCTAAAAAATCCTAGCTCTTAAGAGTGCTCTTAAGGGGAGATCCCTTAAGAGTTGAGAGGAGGACTTTTAGCGACTTAAAAGTTCCCTAAGAGCACAAAATGGTGGACGGTGGAGACAGGAGAAATATTCTATACACTGGATGACAGTGAATCAGTGAAACGCTACAGATTCAAGCAGGAATCATGTTTGTGGTATATTTAAAAGTCAATCATGTGACCAGCTTCTCATTGGCTGGTCAGCAATAACACCTCATCCATTTTACCTTTGTTACACAAAAGTAAGTAGAAATGGTAAAAGTTGAAAGAGAGGAAAAAGTGGTCCTAAATTGTCACACATTCAGTACGAATGAATGAATACTTTATTTTGAGCCATGGCAAACAAGAAAAAAAAGGACAAAACAAACAAAACAACAACAGAATAGAAGTACAAATATACAGTTTTGTTTTTAACAATCCAGCTCAAAAAGGAGTGGGAGAGGATAAGACTTTTAAGCTCCCTTGTACTTGATTTGTACAGTGTATGTATAATATGTTTATATTAATATTGTTTCCTTAATTCCTTATAAGTCTATACATATCACAGCCTTTACTAATCCTAACGTTATCATTATCATCATTTATCCATATAATATTTATAATAATAATTTTCTTTATCATGTATATTATATATAGAGTAATATTTGAATTATATGTATATATATATATATATATATATATATATATATATATAAAATTATAAGTGCTCATGATATATACGTATTATGTGTGATAAATTGGTGCTGAGCAAGCTCTGATGATGGTGTATAAGTCTAACTTTACTATTCACAGTATTTATGTACCATTGATATATCTGACTTTATAGCTTTTGGTTATTATTTACAATAACACAGTGTTCCTAAGATTAGATTCCATGATTGAGTTTGTCCATTTTAGGGCCCTTATTTTGCCTATTATCATCAAAAATATGTTTGTTCTAACTTTTAGGATCAACCAATCACAGCGTCTGAAATGATGACTCATACCTAGCAACGGGGTCGGCCACGCCTCCTCACTAAGATAAAAGTTGTTGTCAATTCCTTGCTCAGAGTTCTCTAAGAGTGTTCTGGAATAACTTTTAAGCTAAGACTCCTAGCTAGGAGTTTTTAGGTTAAGATAAGAGCTCTCTGAGAGGACTCTCAGAATCTTTAGGAATACGGCCCCTGATCATGATCCTGGACAAACTTGATGATGTTTTTGCCCTTGTCTATACACAAATATATACAAAAAAGCAACACAAAGCGCATAGTATATAGTCACATTTTGGTGGTGGACTGTGTATACTTTCTTAAAAATGCCTTGGTCTTGAGTGCTGGTCTGAACTCAACTGGAGGCAGACACTTGAGCAAGTCCAAACAAAACGTTGCTGATTTTCCTTCGACGCCCACTCTACAGATGTGGATAAACACCTCAAGTAAATCCAGGCATTTGTTTGCATAGGTCACTCCCTTTTTTCAAATAATAAGTAATGAAAATGCTGCTTGTGCCAGTGTCGAATTGGACCAAATTTGACCAGAACATGCTGTATTTCTGCTGTATTGTATTATTATTAGAAAACATTTTTATCAATATGGGTTGAGTATCAATTGGTTGAGAAAGAGAGGCCATAAATACATGAATGTCAAAACTAGTGGTAGAAGAAAGCTGTTTTGAGAGCGAGAAACTAGTAATATGGATTATAATATGCATTTATGGTGATTTACATCTTAAATATAACAATAAATAATGCATTGTTAATACTTTGACTTTCATAGTAAGCAAGAAAGTATGTCACAGTCCATGGGAAATTTCAAAAAACTGATTTGATCTTGTTGACATTTCTCCAAAGAGCACCGACTATCACCTCGCCCATGACTCATCTTCAGTTTAATGCCAAGCCAAATTATAGATGCTCATGAAATAACGCATACCTCTCGTGTCTGGTAATTCATGAATCACAATTTTTTGGATCTCTCAATAAGTTTTGGATGTGTGTAGTGTCGGGTGCTCACTCAGATTTGGACTTCAGACAATGAGGACTTTGAGTTGCATTGTTCATTTGTCACTTATTGCAGGCGCCAATGTTTTCTCGCAGTTGTTCTTTAACTAAGATTTCTGCAAGTACTTCCACCGGTTTGAAGAGTCCAGAACAAATGTGTTGTAATGTACGCATGTAACCGACTGAGATAATGTCAGCGCAGTCGCCACTCCGCAGATCAGACCTGTATCTTGGTCTACCAACGTCGTGTCACAGAGAAAATATGTCAACGTTGACCTTGTACACTACTTGTTGAAGTATTAAGTGCACCTGTATATAAACTGCACCAGTAAAATTTGAAATAGACCACACTTGAATATAAGCCTGTATCATTAAACCAACAGCTAATAGAGGAAAACAAAGCCGAAAGACATCTGGCTGTGATTTATTGAGTTATTTTAATGCACTGTTGACGTGTGATGGTAATAATTTGATAAAATCAGAGCATGCGAACATTCACTCACTTTAGCATGCTTGCCTTAACTGTGAGCTTCCCTAGCCCCTCTAACCCTAACCCCTCTATCCCAAGCCCTCTAACCCCTCTATCCCTCTAACCCTAGCTCAAACCCCTCTATCCCTAGCCCTCTAACCCCTCTATCCCTAGCCCTCTAACCCTAACTCACACCCCTCTATCCCTAGCCCTCTAACCCTAACTCAAACCCCTCTATCCCTATCCCTCTAACCCTAACTCAAACCCCTCGATCCCTATCCCTCTAACCCTCTACTCTACCCTACCCTAACTCTATCCCTAGCCCTCTAACCCTCTAATCCTAATTCTAGTCCCTCTAACCCTAACCCTTCTAACCTAATCCAACCCCCCTAACCTTAACCCTTACTCTCTAACCCTAAACCTTACCCCGCTAGCCCTATCCCTAACTCTCTAACCCTATCCCTCTAACCCTAATCCTAACCCCTCTAACCCCCCTAACCCTGTAACTCTCCACCTGATCATCCCATCCTTCAATGCCACAAGAACAACCTGTCTTTAGCATTCTTAGCTATGTAACTTAATTTAGCTGCAGGATATAAACCATTAATACAATATAACATATCTTGTCAAATAATCTTAATATTTTGATTGTGTGAAAGTCTTTGAGCCTCACCAATAGAACTTATCTAGTATGAGGCATTTTCAGTACAGTTTATCAAGATCATGTTGTCTTTGTTTCAAAAGTTCTCCAGCCCTTTACTTATTTGAATGATTTTCTTTTCCAATATCGACCTCATACCTGAATATAAAGATGTAGAGCACAGACAGGTTGAGCAGAAGCCCCAGAATGAACTGTCCAATCATGACACAGGAGAGGATCTGGTAGGTCAACTCCGAGGGGGTCGTACAGTTGTCCGGCGGGGGCGAAGGAGTCGAGGCAAGCTGCACGTGCTGCAACATTTTGGCTTGACCGCATCCAAAATTTAGAGAACTCTTGAAGAACAATCCGGTGCTGGTTTAAGGTCCATCTTCAACTGCAGCTACCATAAGCACGTCTTTTACAATCTGCCATTCTCGGTGCAGAGAGAAGTACTTTAAAGGGAGCTGGAGGTGTGGTTAAAGACACACACACACACACACTGTATCAGCTTACAATCTAACAAACTGAACAGGACTATACTTCTGTGGGAGGAATTATAAGCTTCCTTTTATGACAGGTTGAAGATTTTTAAAAAATGGTCACAGAAACTGATACTAACTTGTGATGTATTATTACTATATATAAAACTCACACACATAGGAAATGGCATTGATAATTCTTCTGATTATTAGGACAAGATTATGTTTGGATAAAAGGCTAATCCAATTCTATTTTTGTGTGTTAATGGTCGTGAAGGGTAAGTGGGTAGTTCAAGGTCCGTGAAGTTCACTCACTGCAGGGAAATTCCTCGGGCGACTGTCTACAGAAGCCATCATGTCTGCACTTGTCGGACAAAATGCTGAAAAGTCTCATATAGTGCTGCATTTTTCCAGTAAAGACAAAATATATGACAAAAGAAATTTAAGCTATCTATGGAGACCTACGTTTATTTTAGACTATACAAGGTTGTCAATTTGCCAACACCTTGCCTTGCCTTACAGCTCCCTTCAGCTGCACTGTAAAAAATTTACTTGTAGAAAAACGGTAAATAGCTGGTTCCAGGAATTTACCGTTTTCTCAACATGGCATTACCGTTGCCAATTTTAACGGTTAAAGACTGTTTCACTGAATCACATTTTGCCTTTGTGATTTCAGGATTTAACTGTTTGTTCCTGTTAATTCACATACAACAAAAACAGAATTAAAATGTTAATTTTGTATTATTACACCATATGACTGTTTCTGTTTCTATTTACTTTCATTTAACAAAAAAACTTTTAATTTTGTTTTCCTTTAATGAACACAACTTTTCAATGATTTTTTAACAACTTCAGTTTATATAAGAAATATTTGAAATCTTTACTTCTATAACATGCCTAACGCAAAAACATAACTTTAATAAAAGCAGGAGTTTAGACCTCTTACCCATGCCTCTTACACTCATGGTTGCTTGCTAGCTAAAATTTCCAATTTCCATCAACAAGTTGATGTTAAATTACGGTGTTACATTGTAATGTTATGGTATTGTAACTTTTTTGTAATCACATTATAATTATGTTAATAAAATGCCACTGGATGTTTTTTAACCAATTTATACTTAAATTTGCATGTTTGAATGGTTTTTCAAAATTTCTTCTCTTTCTTTATTGTTAAAATTTCATTGTAATTTTACAGAAATGTGTTACAGTGTGGGAGTGTCATTTCAAACATGTATTTCTTTTAAGATCATACTCTTTTATGACAGGTCATTGACTATGTGCTTTTTGTGTCATATTTCTCCATAATTCCTGGTGTTTCCTGTTGTTTCCACACTTCCTTTGTGCACACCCTGAGTCATCCTATTTATGCCAAATGAAATATGTGCATCTCTCCATTGTGAGATCAATAAAGTTTATCATATCTTATCTTAGTATGACAACAGTGAATAATCTTTGTCCAAACGTGCAGACCCACAGCAAATTCAATTTTTTTAAACAAATCTAGATCAGATGATGATCAAGATAACCTCAAAAAATTTTACGGCTGAAATTAACAATTATTTTAATAATATATTTGTTTATTCATACAGATCAATCTTCCCCGTGTGGTGGATGAAAACACAGAACCTCCCATTTACTGGAGATGTGACCACAATTAAGTATCTTTGAATCTTTATCTTTCTTTTGATCTTTGGATCCTTCTGCTCTGGCTGTAGACTTGAAGCTTTGATGTCTTGTTTTAATATGAAGCTTGCGCAAGTTCACCCTGGTAGACCTGGCCTGCTGCCCAGCTCCTCCAGGCCTGCTCTCATCCTCGGTTCATCGCACAGCAACACCCACTTCCAGTCAACCAATAACCGCCAGGCCAGCAAGTTAAAAGCCGGAGACGCCCAATTCCCGGCCTTCTCAAGCTTTGCATGCGGTGTTCTGGAGGGGTCGCTTTTCTGCTCACGTGTTGCTCGTCGCGTGTGACCCGGCTGTTCTCTGTCTGGCTGCTTGTGGTCTGCTCCTCCTCCGCGTCCCTGCACCTGCTGCGGATTGCGCGCTGTGGCCCGTGTGTCTCCGGCGCTCTCCTCTTCTGCGGGCTCGCTGCTGCTCGTCTTGTCGTGGTCTGCTGCTGCGTGCAGGCGGTCTGGCCGGTGCGGGGGTGGTGCCGATTGGCGGTGCCGCGTTGTCCCGTTGCTTTTCCCTCGTCTTCTGGCGTGTGTGGTGTTGAGTGTGCTGACCTGCGGACGGTTTGTTTCCTGAGTCTGGGCCGGGCCCCCCTCGTGCACCGCTGTTTTGGGGGTCTGGAGATCTCATACTAACAGTCAATCCCTCCTTATCATTCAGTGTCATTCATAAATCTTTTCTGTTCCAGTCTCCCTGGGCAGGATCCAGTTCAAACCTCAGCGCACAAACTGCAAGCAGTAACCAGGCTTCCTTCCCTCATTGCTGCTCCATTCTCCTCCCTGGTCATCGGTGTCTCAGCCGTGCCGTCACTGCACCATGGCTATCTATCAGCTCTCTCCCGACAACCTCCCCATGACGGCTAACTGGTCTGGAGCCCAACTCAAATCCATACTAAATAGATGCAGAGCTGTGCTGAGCTGTCTCGCACCATGCTCTCAGGTTTGCTCCGGCTGTCATGCTTCATCTCTCTGCTTAATTCTCTGCTTCTATCAGGTGCAGCTGGCAGAGTAGCCGTGCTGAGCTGTCCTCGCGCCGAGCCGTCAAACTCCTCACCAAGGCATCCATAACTGTACTCCTCACTCTTCTGATCGCAGGCTCCCCATCACGCTGCCCATCCTGCAGCTGCTCTGCGCGGCACTGAACTCCGGCTCATTTTCCAAGCACACATCTGCACTCCTTCGCAATGTCTTCCTGCTCGCCTTCTACGACCTTCTCCGCATAAGCGAGTTCCCTACTGCTCACTCAACTTCAATGTGGCCCGAGACACGGCTTTTCCCGACCTGTCCTACTATCCTGATTATTTAATCTCCACCTCAAGAATTCTAAGCGTAAGGGCGCTTGCAACATAATAATAGCCCGCTCCGATACGTCTCTCTGCCCCTACAAGTCCATGATGCGTTTATTTCACCTCCGCTGTCAAAAAGCTAAAATCCCTACTGCTCCTCTGTAATTTGTCTCCCCAGCTCTACACAGCACACTCGTTCAGGACAGGCGCTGCGACGCGCACGGCCTTGCTGGGGCTCCCCCATTCCTGTTGCAACAGCTGGGGCGCTGGTCCTCGTCGGCTCTCTCCGCTACATCAAGCCAGATTCAACTATCATTGCAGCACAGCGACTACTGGCATCCTCATAAGCTCCCAGCAAGCAAGGCAGGCAAGCATAAGCATAAGGCTGCGTTCAGACCAAACGCGATTTCTGCGGCCAAAGCGGCGGGTCTACATTGACACAACATGGGGGACGCGCGCCAAGGAGCGGCGAGAGATCACGCGGCGCGATTCGCGCGGCCAGAGCGGCGCGAATTCGAGCGTTTCGCGCGATTCGCGCGGCGTGTTTTGAGATGTCAAGCGTTTTGACGCGCGTTTCGCGCGATTCGTGCCTCCAACGCGGCCGCCGCTAGAGTTGAACAATGTTGAACTTTTTGGGAGAATTCGCGTGTGCCGACCAATCAGGAGCTTTCTCCTCCAGTGACGTAGTGACGCATTTCACTACCGGAAAAACACTGGTAGATGACAGCTATGGAGGACACGTCAATTGCTCAGGTCGGTGCTCATTCTGAGCTATATAACACTGCGGACCACAGCTACCGGGACCGAAATAAAAAGGAGCTTGCTTGGAGGAGGGTTAGCGAGGTGGTTGGTGTCTCGGGTAAGTTATTTTAACTTTTCAATGTTGTAAATATTTCCCCGCGAAAAAAACTACTACTTTCCTGCTTACGAGTTGATGTGTTTATTCAGTGGAAGTTTGCAAAAAGCGGTGGAAGAATCTGAGGGACACATATGAGGTGCTGAAGGTCAGTGTCATGCAGCAAACGGAGACCTCGAACAGTTGGAAAAAATACATTTCTTTCCTTTCTATTACCCACATTTTGCTGACTTTTACATTTATATTGCTTTCTGTGTATGCATTTCTTTTAATGCTTTCTTAACATCATGGCCAGGTGAAAATAGGCATTGGCTATTTTCAAACCAGGATAGATCTTGATCATGTGTTGTGTTAAATTTCACTTTTCCCTTTTATATGAACAAATCATTTAAATGTACATAATAATGTACATTATTATGTACATTATTATGTAAATGTCATAAGCGCAATGTACACATGATATGAAATAATTGTATTTCTTGTTTTCTTCTGGCACAGACACTGCCACCACCACACAAGGTGAGACATCTTGGCCTGAGCTGCCTGCTGCTGCTGCTGCTGCTGCTTCCTCAGCCGGTTCTTCTTCTGTGAGGGCTGGACCTTCCCCTGCTTCTGCACCTACAGGTGTGGCTTTTTTTAATCATTGTTTTATTTTTATTCTTATTACAGGACTGTTCATATAAACAAAATGTTACTGCATAATATGCCAAAATTACCCAAGGGCTGTTACATCAGTGTAGACGACAAATTTACAGAGAAACGACAAGATGTCAAGGCACTACAGGTGGAAAGAAGCTTTGGTCTGATACAACACATCTTCCCTCTTTCTTTGATAAAAACATACTACTGAAATACCTTATGCTATAAAAGTACTGAACAAATACATGCAATGGTTGCCACAAGATGGCAGCTATCCTGTTTAATGCAGACAATAGAGTATTACTTTTTTACAGCCAATTTCAAATTTCATTGCGAAATACACTTCAGAGATATTAGTTTGTAACTGTCGAAATTTGTGCATGGGTGAGTAATTTCATTGATAACTGCAATGTTCAAGTTAATTGTAACAAACACACAACTTAAAAGTGTTTTACATGTGTTTAACTATGTCTACACACTCTGGCTTTAATACAGATATTATTTGCTCTCTTCATTTTGCTTTTTTGAAATACATGTTCCACTTTTTAACACTGTGATTGCCCTGTGTTCTTTGTTGGCGGCTCTACGGACGTGGGCCTCTTCCGAGCCCTCTTCCTTGGTGGGCCTTCAGAGTGGGAGCGGGAGCTGCTGGAGACTCTACGGACCAAAGCAGCCGCACCGCCCGACTACTCAGAAGAACATCAGTTCCTGCTCTCTCTCTTTCCACTCCTGCAAAGGGTGGCACCAGAGTCAAAAGAATTTGTGAAATTCAAAATGTACCAACTTTTATATGAAAGCAGCACCGTTCTGCTTAATTTGGAACCATTGGCCAGTACAGTTTTTTTTACCTAAGGTGACACCTTTTGCAGGGGAGGAAACAGACATGTGTCCCTTTCCTCTTCCACCGCACCTCCTCCAAGCAAGCTCCTTTTCATTTGTTTATATGTACATTTCATTTATTTTTCATTGTTTGTTCCTTTTTTTATAAAGAAAATATTTTTCAAACCTCATGTGTTCTACTTCAAGCCAACCATTACTACCTTTCATATAATATTGACAGAAAATGCTATTCTATATTTGTACATTTACTTTTATAAGAGCTGACTGGGTTTTATAGAAGATTAAATAACACTTAAAGAGCGATACAGTAGTTGACAGTATTTTTTATTCATTTCACCTTTTACTGTTTTAACAACCTTGTAATTATGGAAAAGCTTGAATGTGCATATGATTAACCTGAAGTTGGAGTGGAGTCGCAGTGGAGTCTGGCAGTCATTACCTAGAAACAGAAGGTATACAGGTGAATAGAATAGTGCAAATCAATATGGGTTTGGACTATGGCCAGATGTGGGTCAGTCTTGTGGTGGACATGACTACTCTGTGGGCTGCCACGGCAGTGCTCCCTCCTCACTGAAGTGGGCCATGAACACTTTCCTTATGTCCACTGCTGGCTTCCAGGCGGCCATCCGCTGCACGCCTGGAAGTGGTTCTTCACCGGCAGCAGCTCCCCTCGGTGCAGGAACCTGCCCATCTCCAGCCATCCTCATCCTCATCCTGGAGATGGGCAGGGCGCATTAAATTGCAGCGCAGTGAAAAGGCCTCATCTGCCACGAACACATGGGGCTGGGGTCCTCTGTGGTCAGCTCCAGGTATGCACTGGTCAGGAGGCAGGTCGAGTGTGCCCTCGCGCAGAGCCTCACCAAAGGCAGAGTTGGACACGATGCCTCCATCGCTGGATCTGCCGTACCCTCCCACATCAATCACCCTGAACCTGTACTGGGCATCCACTACAGCCAGGAGCACAAGGGAATGGTGCCCCTTATAATTAAAAAACATGGACCCAGAGTTGGGGGGTGCCTTCACAGCCACATGCTTCCCATCAATGGCCCCACAGCACAGAGGGAAGTTCCATCGGACCTCCACTCCTCTGCTCCAGGCACAGCCATGAACTCCTCCACGAGGCAGTCCCAGATGGCTGCCACCACATCTGGGATGAGCATGGAGACGGTGGATATGCCCGCTCTGAAGCTCCCCGCAATGGTCCTGTAGGAGTCCCCAGTGGCAAGAAACCTGCAATTACAAAATGATATGAACATATTTATCACAATTACATTCATAAAAATCACGTGACAAAACTTGTGTAGCATAAAATACGTTAAACTAGTAGACAGTAAACATCATAGACAGTAATCATAGACACCATATTGTTGCATAATACTGTTTTCTGAGCAATTACATTGTGGATTGTGATTGAAAAATGACACACTTTGTAAGTATTTATGAATTCTGAATGGGGTAAAAAACACTAACCGCAGACAGATGGACAGGCGCTCTTCAGCTGGAATAGAGCGCCTGTAGTTGGTGTCCTGGTAGGAGATCCTAGCGCCAATGTGGGTCAGTAGGTCGTCAAACTGGGCCAGGGAGAGACGAAAGTACCGCTGAAAGCGACCCTCATCCGAGCGCAGCTCCCGGAGCAAATGGTGAAACTCACCAAACTCCAACCGTCTACGGACTATCTGATGAATCCAGACACGTCGTCGATTCGCCCTTTGACGACGTGTCTGGCTTTATTTATCAGATAAAGCAACTCCTTCGCTGACATCCATGTTGGGAAGCTACAGGCAAAAGAGACAAGCCCCGCCCCTAGACGCTCTCAACGCTCTGTGACAGCGGCTGCCCTCTAGTGTCCTGGCCGCGCGGCCAAGTTTCTCTGTGACAGCGGCTGCCACAATTTGTCACAAGCGGCTCAAGCCGCGCGATAGACGCGATTTGGCCGCAGAAATCGCGTTTGGTCTGAACGCACCATAAGACTCCTGGTGGCGGCACGCACTCCCCTCAACGCTCTCCCCCTGCTCCTAGTTTGCAGCGTCTGGTTGAACATGATGCACCGTGCTGGACTCGCACTTTACTCCCCGGAGTGGGTGCTGAGCAGCCCCGCGCTCATTTTCTCAGCTCGCTAGGGATAACACCTGCTCCCAGCTTGCAGCGTCTGGAGAACATGACGCACCCCTGCTGCCCCGCGCTCATGTTCTCAGCTCGCTCAGGCCCCGCATCTGCTCCAAACAGATGCAGGCTCCCATCAGACGCAGCCTGGCTGAGCGACCATGCGAGAAGCCTCGCACTCATGCTCTCAGGCCTGCGCAGTGCGTCCTGCTATCCCATCGCAGTCCCGCATCTTTGGGGGATTATGAGCGCGAGCAAGCGCCGCGCTCAACATCATCGCTCCGGGGCCTAGGGTGCCAAACATGCTTAATCAAATAAACTTCTAATTGCATTCCCCGTTGTGGGTCTCTCCAGGATGAACTCAATATGGAACTCCCCAAGGTTTCTTACTTACTTAGGTTACTTTTTTCCCATTGCGTTCTTGAGTTGTTCCTTGCCGATGCAGGAAGGTCCGTGGGCCAAGTCCGGCCACGAGACCATTGTTAGTGGCCCTTGGAAGGATTTTCAATTATCTTTGTTGCTGTAACTTGCAGCATTGATGGAAAGGGGCTTCTATGTTACATACTGGTTACACTTAATTGCCAATTGTCTCACAGGAAAAAAACATATAATTGTATCTGTTCTAAAATGTTACATTTCATGTAATTAGACGTAATTGTTTTTAACTAGCAGTCTTTGAATACATCTCTATTGATGTTTTTATTATTAGAGTTATCAATTCAATTTCAATGTATTCTTGTATAGCCTATGCAAGTTATCTCAGAGCACATCACAAATTTTTTGAATTCGCAGACACAGAGAATCAGACAGATCAAACAGAAGAAATGCAAGGATATAAAACACATTGGTCCATTGGTTCATATAGAGCAGAAGACCAATGTCCATTATCGTATTAAAAAATGACGTGTTCAAAATCCCTTATAAAGATGACCATGATTCAGAAAGTTAAATTCAAAAAGGTTTATTTCCCTAATACAAAAAGAATCTAACACAACGACCTGGACCAACTTTAACTATCCCTTATTCCCTATATAAAGTATAAAGTATGACTTTGGTGGGCGCTCCACGCAAAGTCACACTGCTGTCCCTGATCCAGTTTTTTCTAAAAAACAAGCATGAGGTTATTTAAGCAAATGTGCATGAAGAAGGGGGCGTGTCGTTTCTCTCGGGTCCCGGGTCCGGCCTCCATCATGTCTTCCCCGTCTCGCCAGACCTAGACATAATCATTCACACACTCCCCCTCCCCAGCCTATAGATTTATTGGTTCCTTTGAGATAAGGCAGAAAGCTCTCCTTCTTTCACAACTTGAAAAGATTAGCAGAATCCCCCCAGATTAACTATCATTAACTCACCCATGCACTTTGGACAAAATGGGACAAGGGGAGTAGGGCAATACAAGGTCTTTCTTTTTGCTTGGAGACAGACAGAGTTCAATTTCAGGTCAATCTAATTCACATCGCCTTTTAGCCTATATTTAATACAACAGTTCCCTCTTTTGGCCGCTATTAAAAAAGGCCACACATTTCAATAACCTTCCTCAGGCGACGGGACGGGGGAATCCTCAACCAATGCAAGCATTTGACCTCTCAGTCCAGGGTTAACAGCGGTGTCTATAGCTTTAACACAAAGAGAACGTATACAAGGTATACAGCAGCATCCTACAACCATTATTATTGCAAAGATGGCCGCAAGGCTTGTGATAACAGACAAAATTACATGCTTCCACTTCCCCAAGATGCTGTCCAGCCACGCCTCCAGTGGGTTCTCCGGGACTCCAGAAACGTCATGCATTTGCTCTGACAGCATTTTGAGACCAGCCAGAGCCCTGGAAACTGATCCATCTGGATGTGTGTTATTTGGAATGTATACACAACATTCTGTACCAAATAAACTGCAGACCCCCCCCTCTCTCTGCTAAGAGCATGTCTAGAGCCACTCTGTTTTGAAATGCTACCAGAGAGGTGGCCCCCAGCTGCTCCGCCAATCCCTCTATTGCGTCCCTGGTGTGATTGGCAAGCCTAAGCATAGTATACCAAATGAAATTAATTCTATCTACATTTTTGTTTGGCGTGATAGGGAAAATAGCGGAAATTATTGGAAGATTTTCGAAACCTGTTGCAACTTGATCTACCAGTTTGAATTCCTGAGGGACTCCACGTGGAACACCTATAGAGTCCATGTAAGTTGGATTATCTTTCCCAGTATCTAGGAATGGTATTGCTCTTTTAAATCTATGCAGTGGGTGGGGACTGTCTAGGGATGGCTTATGGCCAATTATGGAAATGGGCATCATTAATCGCACCATTGCACAACTACCTGTAACATTTTTAATTAGTCTATGTCTAAGTTTTAAATCTCCACACAACCAATACAAATCACCTCTGGTCCGGGTCATGTGGACCGGACTGGGCAGGGTGACGTTGTTGACACACCAGTCTGCTGGAAGGAACCCCCACTGGAGACGCGGCCTCGTCCCTCCATTGAGTGAGTGGAAACAGGTGTAATTGCTTTTCCTGTGGGAAAACATAGGGGGCTGAATTTCTGAATCCAATTCTGGAAACAATACTTCAAACATTGAACAATTACTAGGGGCTGTCTTTGTCTCCTCAGTCAGGTCTTTTTCTTGCCAAAACAACTTTATCATACAATTATAACCATCTACATCTTCTGGGAAAAGTGGAGCAGGGGCTGTATACAAAGTGGGACGTGCAGTAGAACACACAACACAATCGTCAAAGCCAGCAGCCGCTGACATGTGTTCCACTGTCCACAACCAAGCGTTTCTATCCTCATATCCAGTTGCTTGTTTTAACAATTCAGAAACAGTCCAGTCAGCAGTCACCTGTACGTTTTGTTTGTCTTGCCATACTTCACTATCTATGGCCTCCTTGTCTAGCTCCTTGTCCTCGGGTAGGGCAATTGAAATCCATTGTCTAATGTCTCCTGGATAATGTCCAATAACGTAAGTCCCATTCACATCAATCCCACAATTTTTCACAGTGACTAGCACCGTTGTTTGTGAGTGGTCTGTAGTCAGAATCACTCGTCCCTTCAATCTGTGTTCATTATTATAACCCCAATCAGGACCTGTATTGGATATAACATACTCCCAAGCATCACAGGTGCAGTCCACCGATGCTCTAAAGCTTTTTCCATGTCTCTCATATTTACATGTTGACGGTGTGTAACACAGGTAGAGTGTGTAGTCAGGTCGAAAGGATAATGGAAAGATTGTTGCCATTGGTATGTGGGCTGTAATTGTCGCACCCACCGGGCATTTTACTGTCACAATCGTAGGTAGAGAGTCTCTAACGCTGCCTTCTCCTATGGATCTTTTATTTCTGTCAGTCTTATTGGACCAAAGACTGGATTGTGTTACAAGTCTGGCCCTGTCTCTTAGCTGTGTGTTTTCTAACACTTCCCATGTTAAAATTCCCAGGACCACGACCAAACCAACTGCAGCGATAGCCCATAGGATGGCTCTCCCTCTTTTGGTCGTGGGCCAGGGCTCCCTGTCCCAAGGCAACATATTAAGAGCGAGTGTAAGCGTGTGTGTGAGTCCCTGTCCAACCCGTGAGCGTGGTTACGAGGGTGGGTCAGATGGTCTCGTATGAGAGAGATGAAACCACTTGTTCCCGTGTCCCTTCAGTTGAACAGCTTTGCGAGTGCGGGCCACCACTTCAAAGGGTCCGGTCCAGCGGGGCTCGTTCCACTTCCTTTTGAACACCTTCACACGGACCCAGGCTGGTGGATCCTCTGAGGCCTCCTTCTCGCAGAGGTCGAGACTTCCTTCAACCTGATGGGAAAAACTAGACAACATTTCTCTCAATTGTTGTTTGTCACCATTGGCCTACATGGAGTGAGCACGCGTTTTGACGTCTCTGCTCTGTTTACCCTTTTAAGCCTTTTAAAGCCTTTTAAACACGTTTTTACGGTGTATTAGTGTCTTTTGTACACTCTAGTGTTTTATTATCTTAAATGCAATGGTTCCAGAGCATCACGTCTTTTAACACAAAGACCCAATCGAAACGCGCTAGCTCGGAGGCTACCACGAGCGCACCACAGACATGGAAAGTGACACTGCAATGACCACGAACGACATTAGTCGCCTCACATTGGAGCTTCGTGAGAGGGACCGTGCCACTATTGCAGACCTCCGTAAAGAAGTCCTTCGCCTCACTGCAGAGCTGCAGGATAAACAGTCACTCGTGTCCAAACTTTTTGATGTCGCTGGCGGGCAGCACTCACGGCTTATGTCACTGAGCGCTGCATACTGTGACACTGTCGTGTGGGAGAGATCTGTCAGCTCTGGGCCCTCTTGCTCTACACCTAAGTGCCCGGTTCGGAATAAAGAGCCTGCGGACTGCGAGGAGCCATCCAGCGCCGTGGCCCATGTCCTGAGCCTTTCAAACCGCTATGCAGCCCTCTCCGCTGACATTCCAGCCCCCTCAGCAGAACCCCTGGACTCTGCAGCAAACTCTACTGCTGTCCGTGGATCCAGGTCCACTGCGAGAAAGACACTCTTAAAGCAGCAGTAAGCGATTTGGTCGTTTCCGGCAGTTTCTTCTGCCTGAGCGAGTTAGTAGCCCCGCCCCCGTCTCCTCGTCACACCACATGAACGCGCATCGTGTTGGTGATGGCAGCAGCAGATTCATCTCCGTCGGGTCTACTCGTAAGTATATTAACAACAAACTCTGGGAGTGAAATATTAGCATAGAATAGCTCAGTTGTAACCTAGCTATAACACTGGAAGCAGCTTGGTGTTAGCTAGGATAGCATCACTAAGAAAGAGATAAAAACAATCCAGTCTTTTATAGAATAATACTGTTTTTATAGTTGGTACACTGATAACTGTTGTGATAAACATAATGTTGCAGATTGCAGTGTGACGTGTCTCAACATTATGCACTGTAACATCTGTTACAGTGCATATGTATTAGATGAATGTAATGCATATACATTACAACAACAAAGCTTTACATGAAGGTTATTTAAAGTAATACATTACTGCTTTCCTCACAATTTGTATATTTGGAGTTCTTTATAGACAACACTGTAGTAATGTATTATGTGAAAGTAAAGCTGCATCTCACTGGAAGCTGCCTTCTCAATGTCACAAAATAAAGATACATTTATTGATGTAATCAACATCTGTATTATGTGCTTATTGTTCAGAGAATGAAGACAAAATCAAAGTGTATCAGAGCTGTACAGTGAGATGTGGGACTGAAAAACAATTCCAGTAAAGCTTGTCCGAAACGCAAAAGTACTGTCATAACTAATTACGTTACACTATTACACTGTAAGGAAACTCACCACTTTGAAAGAAAAGCTACAAGTAACAGAATATATAAAGTCATTTGTCATAACGGTTCTTTCAGGAAGCACTGAACGCCCTCTGTCCAGAGAAGCTGATGACCAGATCCTCCCAGACCTTTCCCTGGTGCGTCTGTGAAAGGTGCCAACAGACATTGAAAACGTGCTTTCCTCAGCGGCCCCCATGGTGCACGTCCTCAGCGGCCCCCATGGTGCACGTCCTCCAGTGGCCCCCATGGTGCACGTCCACTCTGCAGTTCTGAAATATGTTTGTAGTTGTACTATTTCAAAATAAAAAAAAATAGATTCACCTCTTTCAATGTGCTTTGTTTTATAGTAGGAAAACAAATACAGTCTGTAACGAGTCTAAGAAACTTTATTATGTAAAAGAAGATTTGAAGTTATAGCCGGAAAAATATACACAATGTCCCTACTAAGACAAATAATTACAAGTGATGGTAAGGCAACGTTTGTGTTATCACTTTTTGCTCAAATGAATAACACTGTTATTATTCAGGTCCTTATCCATCGCTGCTGCAGCGAACACTATCAGAGATATCTAACAAAATGTTAATCTTTATGTTGTAGCTTGTTTGAACACATTTCCTCAAAATAATTCATAAGCAGCCACGCACACACAGCCACAAGCACACACAGCCACAAGCACACACAAGCACACACAGTCACAAGCACACACAGCCACAAGCACACACAGTCACAAGCACACACAGTCACAAGCACACACAGCCACAAGCACAGTCACACACAGTCACAAGCACACACAGCCACAAGCACAGTCACACACAGTCACAAGCACAGTCACACACAGCCACAAGCACACAAGCACACACGCACACACAGCCACACGCACACACAGCCACACAGTCACAAGCACACACAGCCACAAGCACACACAGCCACAAGCACACACAGTCACACGCACACACAGCCACACGCACACACAGCCACACGCACACACAGCCACACGCACACACAGCCACGCTTCAGGGGCCCAGGTTGAAGGAACTGGAGTCTTCCTCTGGCAGAGATTTTCCTTTGAAACATAATAGAAGAGACATCAGTTTTATCTACTCAAATATGACTTTGATATATTCATCATCAACAACATCAGTATTTATTGGTCATCAGGAGTGGCCCCTGATCCACAGGATCCTTTAACATGTTTATTTGGACTGTGAGAGACTGTGCATTGTGAGAGAAAGACACTTACATCGGCTGTTTTGGGAGTCGAGTGATTATCTCACTCCTCTTGATTGTTGAAGAAACTCAGCGACAGTTTTGTCAACACTGACTCCTGGAACATGATCGATATTCATTTTGGACCTCAGGGCAGCAACACAACTGTAGGGATGAACGACACACACATCACAACATCATTATCATAATCACTGCGTCCCATATATGCATTCACAACAACCTACATGACAAATGTGGGGTGTAAAGTCTTCCTCAGGAGATGACAATGGCCGATCTTCTAATTCTGGAAGCAAAGTCTTGTCTTCCCAGTCAATACTAGAGAAAGAAGAGGTCAGCAGAAAAGTATCTAGTCGTTATGGCATTGTTTTTTTTTTAATAGTTATTTAACTTGCATTATGGAGGCTGTTGAACTCTTGTACATTGAAGACCTCATTCCAATTGATTTAGGCCATACTGGAAAAGATACAGAGAAAAGAATGCAATGAAGACATGTAAATTATTACAATGTCTATATTATATCATGCTCATAATTTATTTGGTAGTAGTCAGCAAGACTCTTACTTATTCTCAATACATAATAATAAAAATGTATGTAGTGGTCACGGAAGTTAGATTTGAGGTAAAGAGATATTGTTTTTATAACAATAAAACTAATATACAGAGTGCAAGTTGAAAAACTTAGTCATTGAAGAATGAAATGCAGACCTACATATATATATAGTGCAAGCAACTATGTTTATTGGCAAAAACAAACGATTCATACAGATCAGAAGTGTTCGTAGCAGCCACATCATATTCACAACTACAGACAGCTAATGCTAACAGCTAACGCTAATGCTAACAGCTAACGCTAATGCTAACAGCGAACGCTAATGCTAACAGCGAACGCTAATGCTTAACACCACTTCACGGGGGAACTCTGGTGATATGGTCATTTAATGTTGTACATGTGGGGAACTAATAATTGACCGGAGTTTATGGATGGCTGAGGCTGGGCTAAGGCTTCGATGTTGTGTTGTCTGTTGTTGTTTCTCAAAGCTAAGCCAAGGTAATGCGCAGTTATTGCCACAAAATGCGGCCGTATTTCTACAACAGCTGGGGATTTTTAACTAGCTAACTTGGTGAAAACCCGCATTACAGTCTCAGGCAACAATATGTATAAATAATACAACTACTACTGCCACTACTGAGTAACATTCTCGAGGTCGGACATCCGGGAACTTGGACTCCCATAATGCACTGCGCGCGCATAGCAACGCGGCGAAGGGTAAAACAAACCAGCGCCCGCCATTAAGCAACACGAAGCGAAAGACAAACGAGCGTTACAAAACATGCCGAAAAACTGTTGTATTGTTGGTTGTACCAACAACAGCGTAAAAAGGAGTGACCTATCCTTTTACATGATCCCTAGCGAGGCAACTGAGCCAGAAAGGAGAGAGAAATGGCTCCAGCTGGCTTGGAGCTACTCAGTGGGAATCTTTAGATTTTGTCACTTTGCTCCTTGAACAGGAAAGAAGAACAACAACCCCGCATACCCAGATTACACTCCGTCCATTTTCCCGCAAGCAGTGCTGAAGGAATTGACTAAGAGTACCACACTTGATCGCTTCAAGAGAGCACAGAAAAGAAAAGGTAAGTTTGCTACCCACAGTACCCTATCGTTAACAGAAAAAAAACCATCAAACTGTAGTGTGATCAACATGCATCTAGTTTGCTCCTAGATCAATGACCAAAAATTATCTGAATTTGTTTGACACAACACTTGAAATTTAAAACTAACAAATTGCAGTCGATTTTGTTTATGCAGACATATATATAGTAGCAAATTGTGTTTATTGCTCTTATTTTACACTGCAGTAAAACCGTACCTGCAGATAATGAGCTGCATTTCCAATGCACAGTTAAGAATTAAAAGATTCCATATTGCAATGAGGTTGTGTACAACAATTGATACAAGCACCTTGTGAAATAGAATGTTGTCCCCCATATGAAATACATAAATAAAAAATACATGTTGATTTCTAATGACCAATTTGAAAAAGTAGTACTTGGGAGGTTAACTGCTACAAAAATGGTAATCTGTGTAAAAATACAGATTTTGCTAACAAATGTATTTTCCTTGAAAACAAAATTACCTCCTGTATGAAAAAGTCATTGCATCTACAAAGTAACTAGTCATGCAGATTTTTGTACATAATGCCTAGCCTGGAAATTCTTGGTAAGATGGTATTTATAGTACAAAACTAGTCTACTGGTCGCTGCTTTCTAGTCATAGTCGACTATTATGACTTATCGTCCCAATCCAACTCAATACTAAATATACTGCCGTTTAGTAACACCAGGAAGCCGAGTGAGTGAGTGGTTGGTGGTGGTCGGAGGGGCCGATGGCGCAGACTGGTCGCCTCGCTTCAGTCAGTCTACCCCAGGGCAGCTGTGGCTATAATAGTTGCTTACCACCACCAAGTATGGAGTGAATGAATAGTGCAATGTTAAGCGTCTTTGAGTGTCCAGAAAAGCACTACATAAAACTGATGCATTATTATTATTATTATAAATATGAGGCCATGACTTAAAATTTCTGTGATCATTTGCAAAATATATACCTTTTATCTATTTTTTTCAGCACCATCCACTACTCTAGTATCACGAAAGGAAAGGAAGGTGAAGAAGCAACTGGAATTTGAGGAGACAAGTGTCCCAGAAGAGTTGCAACAAGAAGTGTCAACACCCTGCATGGAAATGCAAGACCTGCAGCAGACGGAATTAGGCATTGACAAAATCAGCAATGATTCGGTCTCCACCATCATAATACTAAATACACCTGAAACAAAAGAAAATGAAGAAAGGGAAATAATTTTATTTTTATACATTAACATATCACATCTAGGAGAGTGACAATTGACCAGAGCAAAAACACTGACAAATTGCAAGTAAATGATACAAATGTTTTCATGTCAATCTTCACGTCTTTTAGTATTTCTACTTATACAATGTCTAATAAACTATTTCTCATTAGAAATGTTAAAGTCTTGCTGTTGTCGTTAGACACTACATATATAATATAATAAAATGTAATCTGATGACTGGTTATTGCAAAAAATAACCGGTCATAAAAAGTGTGAATAGAGGGTATGCCATTTTACTTTAAAATTTAAATAGAAATGTAATCTCAAATGAATGGACACATTGAGGGGCAAATCAAAGAATAACAAAATAATACCAATGCCATGCCACTGTTTTCTGTTGCTATGTTATGACATCGCTATGCATAATGGTCGGCAGCTCTACACCGATAAGCAACAATGAAATGCACTAGTTGTGTGGGGAATAAGTGGAATTTCTGCAGTTAGCCTTTTTTGGCTTTTGAAAAAAACTGTGTCCCTCACTTACACTGTACAAGCTGTGCCACTGACAGACTGAGCTCATTACAGCCACATTGTAACAGAATGCTTTTGAATGTCATAACATAGTTAATGTTATCGATGCTTGATGGGTATTTAAATATTACTACAAGTGTAGGACACATGGTATGTACACATGGTGTTCATACCAGGGGACTTGATGAGGTAATTGTATATGTCTGGATACTCGAGCCTGGGCCATGCCTTTGGGTTGTTTTCCCAGGACTCTGCTGGATGCCGATAGGGACAAGATTGTAAACCTACAAGCGACAGCTTTCTGTGGTACCTTAGCCTGGCCTTTGCCATCCGTAAACTCCGGTCAAATCTTTTTTTCCCGGGATGTACCCTCTGTACGAAACAAGTACGAGGGTATGGTAAAACCAGGCTAGTGGTACCTGGTCAATGCAGGCGCTAGGAGACTGTCAATATACTGATATGACATGCTGCAATAGAAGAAGAAGATCTGTATTCATATAGTTCCTTTCACAGACATGTAGCTAGTCACAAAGCGCTTTACATGAGTGTTTAATCTCACATGTATGGAGTGAATGTAAACTAAAACTGGCGATTATAAGTGTAAAACTACAACTGAAAAAGGTGGTCCTGTTGTGGCTTAAGGTGCAAGAACAAGAGGAATGACATTTGCGTTAATAAAATAAGGTTTATCTGATATTTCCAACAACAGTTAGACATTTCTTTATTGTTACTATGACAACAGCTACAATGGAAATAGATAGGAATTTAGATTCCTGCCTCCAGCTAAGCAAGCCCTGAATGTTTACACCACCAACATACATTCGCATACAAAGATATCATTCATCAATAATTCAAAGTTGTCCGTTAGTATCCATAACTGACATAATCCACGGCAAAACATATGTAAATAGATACCTTTTGGATTCGCCTTCGGTTTGTTTTACCCTTCAAACATGGCGGCGGTTGGTTGCTACGCAGGTCACATGATTCGTGACGTAACGCCGACCTCGAGAATGCTCACCTGTTCAGTCGGAGAGAGGAATCCACGGAGCTAGAGGTCGCCAACATGAATGCAGCTGGTCACCATGTTGCTCTACTTTTTGTCGTTCCTCTGTTTCTGGCGTTTTGCCTGTATTTAATAAATCCATTGTATTTCGTCTGCAGCAGCGCTGGAGGCGCTTTTCCTTCTCCGCCATGTTTGTTTTGAAGAGTGCGCGTGCACACACGGGAGAAACCCCTTATAAGGCGTGCTCTCTCGTCATTGGATAAGCGCATAGGATGTGAGGTTTTTTTATTAAATATGTGGGAGAAGACTGGAAGGACTGAGAGATCCGTGTTTAGGTACAAACACTCTATATAAGTGATGGCTATTGGAATATATCAATATTTAAGACGTATATTAACACCCAAAAATCGCTTACTGCTGCTTTAACGAAACAAAAAAAGAAACATTACAATCACACAAGGAATTAAAATAATCACAGTACATTGAAAAGAGTGTAGAAATAGAGGCCTCAAACCTGTGAAATATTAGTCATGTCCCAGATACACCCCCCTGAGGAGTCTACATCTGAGGGGGGGTGTTTCTGTCCTTGTTCTGTCCAGTCCATCCGCCATGTATAGTTTGGATAAAATGTTTGTGAAAGACTGTGACTCTACAGTAGAAATCGGACCTTCCACAGTGTTTGTTATCTTTTAGACCTATGTAATTCAAATAGTGTTCATATCTTTTAAACTTAGATTTCAAATTGTGTGCATATCACCACTGGTAAAAAAAAAAAAAAATAAAACAATCCTGTTTGCTTTACAAACTATCTCGCTCATGTGCTCAATGTAACGTAGGCAGCAGGCACTATACAGCAATATAGTCCCTGCTGTCCTGAGGTCGCCGGAAACAAAGTAAACCGTATAGTATAATACAATTATTACAGATATTTTCATAACAATTTGTTACACTACTACGTTTCTTAAAATGTAATTTCGTTACACCCAATAATGCTTTTGCCTCAGTTTACATGCAGACCTCTCTGTCTCAGTGTACATACAGCTCTCTATACATGCAGACCTTTCTGTCTCAGTATACATACAGCTCTCTTGTCTCAGTATACATGCACTTCTCTTGTCTCAGTATACATACAGACTTCTCTTGTCTGAATATTAGTGCAGACCTCTCTTGTCTCAGTATACATGCAGCCTCATTCTCCTGCAGTGACCTCCGCAGTGAGCAGGTCATTCGGGTTATCACTGTTGTTTCCGCCACAACTGGTCCCAACCTGTCCCAACCTGTCCACATCTACGCACACCATGCACCAACTCCAATCAGACAACACTTCAACAGAGTTCTACAAAGTCGTTTTACTGGGAATTCATAATGAGTTATTTATTTTTGAGGCACCCATAGCAGACAGAGGCTGTGTCTTAGGCCCTGTTTATACTGAGACGCTGCGCAGACGTTTCCAGGCTATTAACAGAAACGACCTGGCTCCTAATGCAAATTTCTCAGCGTTCACATGAGGTTGAAAAACAATGTAGTTCTAGCGCCCGGCCAGTAGGGGGCAGAGAAACTTTACAACACTCACACGACCCCCAGCCCCGTGCCCAGCCCCCCTCTCGGCAGTGTACTCGCTTCCTGTACCAGACCCTCAGAAAGTAGCAACATCATTCTGCATTTTAACAGCAGCTCTGAAAATGGAAACTGAACCTAGAGCTTCGCGTGGTCTCGTTTGGACGAACGAAGGAGTCGAATTATCCTCTGTCCCGCGCTGGAAGCCCACGTAGCTAGTTTGTGTGGGCAGCGCCATTTTTGTTGATGTTTGTTCTCCGCTACTGCGCATGTCCAAATTTACGTGCGGGGAGCAGCGCGGAGGTGGGGGTCAGAGCAGAGGGGGATTTCACACCTTTCCCCTCTCGCGGGTGTGAAAGAGAGCCCCCGCTGTGCAGCGTTTCTGAGGCCCTGTTTATACTGAGACGCTGCGCAGACGTTTCCAGGCTATTAACAGAAACGACCTGGCTCCTAATGCAAATTTCTCAGCGTTCACATGAGGTTGAAAAACAATGTAGTTCTAGCGCCCGGCCAGTAGGGGGCAGAGAAACTTTACAACACTCACACGACCCCCAGCCCCGTGCCCAGCCCCCCTCTCGGCAGTGTACTCGCTTCCTGTACCAGACCCTCAGAAAGTAGCAACATCATTCTGCATTTTAACAGCAGCTCTGAAAATGGAAACTGAACCTAGAGCTTCGCGTGGTCTCGTTTGGACGAACGAAGGAGTCGAATTATCCTCTGTCCCGCGCTGGAAGCCCACGTAGCTAGTTTGTGTGGGCAGCGCCATTTTTGTTGATGTTTGTTCTCCGCTACTGCGCATGTCCAAATTTACGTGCGGGGAGCAGCGCGGAGGTGGGGGTCAGAGCAGAGGGGGATTTCACACCTTTCCCCTCTCGCGGGTGTGAAAGAGAGCCCCCGCTGTGCAGCGTTTCTGAGTTGTCCCACTCTGCAGGCTGGATCTGAACACTT